GGTGCCCCGCCAAATCGCATAGATCCTGTGAAACAATATATTTGAGGAGCGGGTGAACGAAAGCTAGCAGTTGTTGCATGAGATGGGTCGGTGACAGAGTGGATTCAGAGGTAGCTTGTGTACAACGAGAGGCCCGGCAAGATTCGTAGGATGCGACACGCAAACGCACATGGTAGCGTGGCAAACCTTGAAAAATGAAAACAACGAGAGGCGTCAGAAGCTGTCTTAAAGCACCTCTGGGTTCTGCATGCTGCGTGTGCAAAGATTCTTGCGAGGTGGTTTACTGAGAAGACTGAGGTCTCAAATGAACAAGCTGAATCGGCGGAACATGTAAAAGTGCATAACACCAAGTCCAAAACGGGCAAACCGAGACTGCTGAAACACTGAGCCACTGCCCGGGGGGAGGGGTGGACCAAGGAGGAATCGAGCCTGAGACGGGGGGGGTCTAAATAATTGATTTGTTTCAATCTTTTCGGCTCAAATAATTGAAAAAATCAATCTTTCGGCAGTTGAGCCCCTTACCTTGCTTACGCAAGGAGAAACTTCAGCTAGCTAAAGCTAGCTTTCGTGAATACATTGTTTCATAGCAGACTCGCAAGGGAAGCCATTGCAGCTAACAGTAACTATTAGAGACCATCAAGGACATGGACCAGTAACTGCTAAGCAATAAAGTCTCACCAAATTCAACTCAAAGCAACAAAACTATGACAAGGGCATTTCGAGGTAGGCAAGTGACTAACTCTCTTTCCTGGGAGGCAAAGACGCATTGGACATGCGTTGGAGAAAACGAACACCAAGCTTCACCCTGGGAAGACACTCTGGACCTAATCGACTGATCTATGCTGGATGTCAAACAGGATCTGGAACAATTCATCAAATACTCAACTCTGTATTCAAATTGTTGAATCTGTGGCAAATTGTGCCAAGTTGGGACCATCAAACATATTCAGGGCAGTCCTGCCAAGGACAAAACAATTCAAATTGAATTAGAGCAACATTAGTTGAACAGGCCTAGCCTTCTTTAAAACATTGGTGTGTGCTAAAACTAAAGGAACCAGGGCAGAAAAATGATGGAACAAATCTAGCAACACATGGCTCTACCTGGCCACCCAGGAGTACAATCCAAAGGTACCATTGGACTTGCCTGAAAATAGCAAGGTCTTGGGAATAATGAACCAAGACGGTCTTGGAAAGTATTCATCACAAATCACGAGTCCAGACGAATAGACTAGTACAGGGGTTTGTTTCCTTTTAGGATCGATCAGCATGCTTGGCGATTCGCAATGCATGCCAGCGGCGGTCCACCACCGCGGCGAGAGCCAGACTCCTAGGGGCATCCTTTCGCCGCCAGAGGCCGCCTGCAAAGGGGCAGGGGCAGAGTCCGTCTGGAAAAAGACTGGCAGGGTTCCCTATATTTCCCTTTTAAATATCACCCCACACAAAGAAAGTTCACATGGAAAATGCCAAGCGATACATCGTTTTGTGGTTTCCTTTGCGGAGAATCAGGTCAACGTTTGAGCTACTGCAACACGTTTGTGTCGCTGGGATGCCGCTGACAAATCGAGCAACAATACTTTTGAGTCATGACCATTCCTGTTCAAACCAACAGGGGCACAACAAATCACTCAGTAGTCAGCTTAGTAAGGCCTTGCTGGAGAAACCAGCCTGGCGGGGAATTATCAGGTGTCCAGAGGAAAGCGTCTTCCATGGAAGGAATCTTGAGCTGCAATGTTGGACACATTTGAGCAGTCAAGCGATTAGTTCCCATAAAATGGCGTGAAATGCAACTGGTGAGTTCTCGTCGTTTTTGCGGTTGACTGTGGCCCGATGCAGAATCGGTTGAACCGATGCAGAACCATTTGAGCACATTTGCCATGGCCTCCGCAATCAAGAGGATGTTGAAGCGATGGCTGATTGAGCATGCTTTCGCAGGCTGCTGGCCATGCTTTCGCAGGTTGCTGGCCACAATCTTAATCACCAGGGATTGCTGTGTTTGTGCTTTGGTGGTTTCAAATGTGACCTTTGGGCCAATTTCATCTGCGTCAGGCCAATCCCTGCAAAATCAAAGCAGAAAACTGCCGTTACCTAGAACCCGAAAGACTTGCTATTGACTTCCACGACTGTTGGAAAGGGGGGTCTTTGCTGTCCCGAACAAGTTGAAGCCTCAACCCGCTTACAACGACAAACATGAACGTATTGTTCATGCTGGGTCATGACCAACGCCAATTCAGTTGCGTTGACCTCGGCCGGGTGCAATACACAAAGCCAGGCCCATGTCAATATTTCGCTCTTGGATATTGTGTAAGAAGGGACCTATCAAGAAAGCCACTCCTTCTTTGGGCCCAACTTCTATGTTTGGGAAACATCCATATTCAGCCATATTTGGCCCGCCCGAACAAAAAGAACGTTTCTTCAGAACAAGTAGCCTGACTTCTTTGCTTGAATCAAATTCTAGGAGAAACAGGGGGGTGTCAAAATTGGTGGTCCAACCGGTGATGCTTGAACCAACTTCCCGCAACCCCGCTCGCCTACGAAAGAGAAGACCGACCACTGGCCATAGCCTCGGCGCTTCCACTTCGGAATGGGGCAAATATTGTTGATGGACTAAATCCAGCATGGATTCGTGGAAAATTGAATAAACATCCCGACCAAAGGACTGCCTACAAAACAGGAACCTCACTTTGCGTGACGTCACAACCCCCCTAGCGACGTGGCGCAATGGATGAAACCCCAGACATACGGGCATAAACCATCTGCCAACTGGTGCAAAGTGGATTTCGTCCATCCACAGTATTGCTCAAAATGCTGCCCAATCCAAGAACCCTCCTACATCCCTTTTGAGGCTCACCCCCTAACACCCCGCCCCCCACGATCATGAAGCGTTCTCTCATGAGGGGGTCCAGGGTATGCTCAAAAGGTATGTCGGAGGGTTATTGATTCCAAAAAGCAAATCCACACACTTGTATACCGCGTATATGCTGCTCAAATCCGTTTTATGTGAGTGGTGCAAAGCCCCAACACCTCCGAACAGCTTTTTGGCTGGATTGAAACGGACACCCAAGGGATCTCGTCTCCAGACCTGAAGTTGGTACCCTTTCTGACCGTTGTTTTTAAGGAAAACCAAAATACCTCGACGAACCATCCTTGAAAGTTGTACCATGTTTAACTGGATGCTTGAAAATACAATTAAAACATGAAGACACTGACCGCTTGCCCCAAAGTTGCCTCAATCATTTGTTGGGCCTGGTTGGCTCCGGCCTTCCGGCCCGGAAAACCCGAGGGAGGCGCAGAGCAGGGCGAGCAAGACGCCCAGCGTGGCTCGAGCCATTGCACGGCTCAAGGAACCACAGTATATTCGTCCTGAATGCTGCAATGCTCGTTTGCTATTTGGGGGGCGCCCCAACTCCCCAACAAGTTTCCTGGGGCACGGCCATTGGATTTGCCGGTAGGACCTTTGTCGGTTTGCGTTTGGCGGTTGCCGCCCGACATGCATGCCATGGTTGAAAGACCTGCTAGATAACTAATAAGGGCGCGCAATGTCATGGACTTGTTTGGTTGATCATCAGGGCTTCGCAAGCAATTTAGACCTGTCTCAAGAACATCTTTTTGTCGACGGGTTGAGGCGGCGATTTCCTCCGTAAACATGTAGCGCTTGGCTCTTTCCGCTGGAACAGTCGTCACTTGCACCGTGTCAGAACAGCACCTGCACGGTTGATTGGGTGTGCGCGTGTACTTCATCAAGCGCAAGGACATTTCCAATGTCTTTACTTGTCTTTACCTTTCCAATGACTAGCTTTTGAGCACGTCCCGCGCAGCGGGGGGTAGCCGGAAAACATGCGGGCGGCTACCACTGAAGACCCCAAAGATGTTTCGTGCAAACGTACCTGCTCGAGTCGCTCCTGGGCCCTCAAATCCACCCCTGCGCGCCCGCTCACACTCACGCGCGTCACGTCAGAGCTGCACGCGCTCTGGCACATGATGAGCGCACCCTGTCATGGTATCACGTCAGAGCTGCACACCTGATACTCACACCCGTTCACGCGTTTCACGTCAGAGCTGCGCGCACGCTGGCACATGATAAGCACACCCACTCACGCGCATCGCGTCAGAGCTGCACGCAACATGGCCACATGATTGACACATGATACGCACACCCTCTCACTCGCACCACGTCAGAGCTGCACGCACACTGGCACATAATAAGCACACTCGCTCGCGCGCCTCAGGTCAGAGCTGCACGCACGCTGGCACATGATAAGCACACCCGCTCGCGCGCATCAGGTCAGAGCCGCACGAACCCTGTCACATAACAAGCACGCCCGCTCACACACACACACACACATCACGCACGCTGGCACATGATAAGCGCACCAGACTCGCATCACGTCAGAGCTGCACTTGCATGACATGATGAGCACATCCGCCAACTGCCACTGTGTGCTGACCTGGTTCTGTTGAAACAAGCAGACCCGAACCCGTCAAAGAGACACCAAAGGATGTTGTTCACAGTGTATGGTCATCTCGAAGCAGTGTCCTTTGTTTTGAGTTTGTTTTGAAACACTTCCATTCTCGAGCAGTCAAAGCCTGCTCGTTGTCGCATGCTAACACAGCAAGGCACAAGCGATATATGATGTAGCTGCTTACTTGGCCAGACTTACACGCCCTGCACAACAAAACATGTTGCTGGTTGCAAGGGAACATGAAGGAACCCAAAGGGGCAAACAGTGAAAAAGGCGAGCTAAGTCCGGCTGCCCGCCATAAGTCATTTTGCAGGGCTTACACCTGGAGAACCTTCTACCCTGCATTACATTCAGTTTCCCTTCAAAACCACACAGAAACAGGTCCACCATTCCGAAAACGCTCATGTGTTCACCAAACCCCCCAGCTTCTGCTCCCTTTCATGCAAATCATCCCTCCCCTTACCCCACCCCCCCCGGATATATTTTCCCCGCACTCCTCTCCTGAACCACTCCCCCCTTTACTCCGCCCCCCAAATCCGCCTTCCAAGGAGTCCGCCGACATGGCGCCGGCGAGGCCAGCCACCGAGGAGAGGCGCCGCCCGTTGCTGCCTGCGCCACCTGCGCGTGCCATATCTGGGGTCCACCTGCTCAAGGGCTGAAACGGAACACTCGGGGTCACTCGGGAATTGTCATAAAGGGGATTCTGTGGACCAAAATTGAGTGTTTCTCAAGATGGATTTCGAACCCCCTTTTGGTTGTGTGGTGCTTCGGAAGAAAAAACACAAAAACATGTTGGTCCCCTATAAAACAAACAAACACATCCACCCACGTTCAAGCCTAAGGAATTCGATCCTGTTCACCACCTTGGTCGGACTTATTCCGTTGCGAAAAGTTGACTTTTGCGGGTCAAAAGGGAAAACAATGGACCACCATCATTTTAACCAACGGCAAAACTGCTTCAGACGGTACGATGCCTTGAAGCATAAGGTCCGTCCTCAAACTCTTGAAGTGGGTTGGTTTTAAATCCCTACTCCTTCAACCCCCCAAATCTTGGCAAATGCTACGAGTCACAAAATGCAAACAACTTTCGGGTAAGGAACCATCCCATGGATGAACTCTACAAATTCTGCAGTCCAAATGGTTGCTTTCAGGTCGAACACTGCCCCAAGCTCATGGAGCTTAACCCAAAAGGGACATGTAGCGCTAATTAACAGCTGGGTCGTATTTTGGAACGCCTCTGTTAGGCCAACAAGTGGCAGGTGCATTGAACATACTCAGCACAGCATTTGACAGGGGATAGATAACTTCACAAACGCATAGAAATCGAGTTACATGATTCCCATTCGCCCGTGTCGGTCGAGTGAGCAGTTGGGGCAGAGCTGCGTGCCCTGCTAAGCTTCTTTTGTTCCCGGCTGTCTTGTCCCTATGCTTCTTCGTTATATGCACCACTAGAGACAGCTGATCCCATTTGTTCTGCGATTTGTGCATCGCCTTCTGTATATATATATATATGCATCATGAACTACACATCACGTACAGTTAGGCCAACAAACATATGTGCACATGTCCATACACGCTCCTGCGGCTGTTCATAAGGAACCCACAGCATGCCAATCCAAAGCCCAAGTACATAGAGGAATCCTGTTTCCGGGAACGGACACCGACAACTACTCGTCTTTTGCCCCCAAAGAAGCACCATGTTTGAAACAGCATGATTTCAACGAGATCCCAAGTAGCGGTCCTCCTGAGCGTCACCCCGTGTAGGATCCCATCTTGGGCCCACACCGAGTAGCTCGCTCTGGACAGGATACTGCACCTTGGCTTCTGTGCTTGCTTGTTCCCGCAGGCTATGCGTTGGAGCATCTCCCCTTCTGCGATACCATGATTGATTCTCATCCCCATGACCTTGTTATTCTACCTCCGGGCTTAGCATCACATGGTGATACTATATATTCATCACCCTACCAAAGCAATACTTAGTCAAAATGGCCTTGCACCCAAAGACTTTCCTTCCTGACTGGATTGGCCAAGCAAAACAAAACGAGCTTGCTGCGTCAACCGCAATGTTCTTCCCAACGAGATTCAAGTCCGAAATGGAGCTCCGGAAGTGAGAAGATTCATGATTCAATCCACTAAAATGGCGGGGGCACCAAGTCAGCTCCCCAGCTCGAACTCAGGTCTGCGATTGTGGCAGCTCCCTGAGCGGATGGATCTATGTCAAAACCACACCTCTAATTGGCACCTGCCCGCACGTTCGTGGGGCCTAGCGTACCAAATATCCACCCTCTTCTCCTCCTCTCTCTGCGCCAGTTCCGGGAGCAGAGCACGCCGCAGGAACGCGAACTCCGCTTTCCCGGACCAGCCTCAGACCGCGTGGTGCAGGCAGCGGTCCCCGCCCCCCAAGCACGAGTGATTGCTCATTTGGGTCTGCCAAGTTTATCACGTGTAGGCGTTCCCATAAACACCATGACACCAGAAAAGCCGCTGTTAAAATGGGCACAAGGAGGATCTCGGGCGACGCTCACGTGGACCCGCCCCTACCCACCAAAACAACGGTATGCGCTCCAGATCGGAACACCACGGTGTCCACCAAAAGAAACATCCTGCTGGCTTTTGAGGTCCATGCTAATGGTGTAGCACCACATTAAGGGTGGAACTTGAACTAGGGGCTTCAGAGCAGCCATACGACCAATCAAAAATAATAGCGAAAAGCAATAATGCGTTGGATGCTATCATCATCTTTAGGAAGCTTCAAGACACGTATTTGCATTCAACTTGATTTCATAGCTTTCTGCATGTTTAGCTTCGGGTAAAGGAGCAGAAATCGCATTGATGAGTGAATCAATAAATGCAAACCCATCGACAAACATCCTATCAACCTACTCTCTTTCGGCACGGGACTATCAGTTCTTCCTAATTTTCGCACCTGAGTTTCTTCCCGTGGCTTTATATGCTGGTGTTGCCCAGAAACAAAAGGCGATCGCATGATAAGGGCGTTAACAAGCCATGCTTGCCAGAATGGAAAATCAATTGTCGAACGGTCAGCAAGCCCTTACTGTTGGTATCAGGTCCAAAAGTTGAACCGAAGACAAAACAGGTTTTCATCAATAGTTTTTTCTTCGGGGCCAGTAGTCAAGAGAATCCAATTGGCAAAAAAGTCGGGGCCTCTGAGCCATCCCAAGTCCTTGCGAGCGGCTGCCACGGGCCCTCAGCATGCCCCCCAGCGCGTTCACCAGCACCAGAGGCTCCTGGACTCCACCGCGAAGTGAAACAGGAACTCAAAAGGTCCCCAAACTTGGCCACAGACTTGATGCCTGTTGCCTGCCCTCATAGGGTTTTTGCAAACAAAAGCCGAAGATTAAAGATCCAACCCAGTAGCATGCAAGAACATGGGGTCTGCCAAACTTGGTCAACGTTCAACCCTAAACCTGGAACTCAAGCCTTCTCACCATCAACTTAGCCAAGGGCAAAAGGCAACATGTACGATAGTAACTTCCAATTACCAAATGTTGACCCGGAAAAGGGAGGTGCCTCTAAAACCATTGGGTTTTGAGCTTGCATTTTAGTCTGCTGGATAATATATATATATGTGTCCCTCCCGGCAACAAACATATTTGGTGCGCAGGAACCCTTGCAGTTCAAAAAGAAAATTGTCTTGCAAAAGGAGTCTGCGCACTTTCATGTTTGTTGGCTGGTATGTCTCCACCCAAAAGAACTGCACATTCTAACTGGCCCAAAAAAAGGTTTAAACAATGAAATAAGGAGCGATGCCGAGTGGTGTTTATGGTTCTTAAGGCTTTTCTTTGCGGCCCTGTTTCTTGGTATCAAGGTCGGGTCTTCCCTCGTCTGGTATATCTAAGGCAAAAAGACCCTGCTTCACAAATAGGGTCCTCTTTATCCGCCTCAGCAGAGGGTGGCTTAACTCAACGCCGCTTGGATATATTGCATCACCCCAACACAGACACACAAACACACAAACACACAAAACTCCCCCAGCAACAAACAAAAACAACCCCGGGCGCCAGAATCAAAGAAACCAGCTGCGGTCGCTCTTCGTTCGCTCCCGCGCGCGCGGCGTGAAGCCGCTGGCCCAGCGCTTCGCCAGGGCCGCTGCCGCGGCGCTCAGCGCCGCCTGCGTCAGTCGAAGCCGGTGATTGGATGGAAAATGGGGTTGGGGAAGTTGGAGGGGGGGGGTCTTTGCAAATTTGTACCACCAACTTGGGAACAACGTGTATGTATGTGTTTCTGATAAAAAAAAAAAAAAAAAAAAAAAAAAAAAACACAACTGGCATGATGTTCGAAAGGCGATTTGGTTTGATTCAACATTAAATGCATGTCTAAAACCAACATGTAGGCTTCAAAATGTGATGTTAAACAACAATGCCACTCACACGTCTAGATCCACAAAATGAGAGAAGCATGAGTTGGAACAGTTGGACGGTCGAAAGGTGATGAGATGATGGTGGATGCGCAAATAGAGTTGTCTCATCTACAAGGTCCGCCGACTAACTGGGTTTTATCAAGAAAGGGTTGCTCCGATATCCTGAGTGGCACTTTTTGGAGAAAAAACAAGGCGAGCCTCTAAACGCTCAGAGCAACCCTGCAAAAGGCGATGTTTGACGCTACAGAACAATGTTCAGCGAGGAACTTTGACAATCTCTCAGGAACGGCGTGGAGCCACCGCTTCGGCCCCCAACTGCCCCACCCAACGCAAGACACATCGAGCTGGAAATGAGGAATCCTCAAAAGACCCGCCTCATGAGGTCTACTCCCGGTGGGTGAGCTGTAAGCTGGCTTGGCCCAAAGACCCTGGAACGAGGGTCGTCAGTTGGCTCATGGTAAAGGGAAATCGGGGTAAACCAAAGCAATTCTATATCCAAATGTGCTTTGAGACTCAGGGGACTACTGTGGGGACAGTTTGAAGAGAAGCCCAAACGTTTCAGTGCACGGCTGTTTGCGGAAACACCCATACTGATCTGTGTCAAGCCTGATTCATTTTGCTGCCGGTGTGTCGCTCCCTCAAATGTGCAACAACTGCCCGACCCGAACACAACCGAGCAAGAAAAAAGAAAGACCTGGGAAAATTATAGTTTGCCAATCTGCAAAGTATCGCTACTAATTCGCACATTTCAATGCCTTTGATTATCTTGAATTCAGTGATTCTCAAGTAAAGGACCTACATCATAGTGAGCTCCTGATACCCGCAGACTCGCAGACCTCGCCACAAGATTGGCAGAGCAATGACGAACAAATATGAAGTTGGCCAAACTTCGACCCTTGGATCAGGATCCAAATATATCCTTTTTCATCACTTTGGTCACGGGCAAAGATGTAAGATGGTAGCAAACGTTGACCCAGATGAAATTTATCCCAGAAACCTGGAACGAGGCACGGCGAACGCGCGCTTCGCGGTTTCTGCGTTTGCGCGCTGCATGCCTCCCTGGGCCAGAACATCTGCTCTCCGAGGGCCGAGGCGGTGGTCGCCAGGGCCAAGGGATCTTCGCCTGCGCACGGAGACACAGCTGGAGCCAAGTCCTCCCCCTTCCTCCCAACCTTTCCCGGGGAGCCGGCGGGCCCAACATGTCTCTCCGTACTTCAAGAGGCAGAGTACGTCAGATGAGTGGTTCGTAACCCTGGTCATCACTTGAGTCCACTCGCCAGAAAAACAAATTCCTGACTTTATGTTTGTCACTAAAATTGTCTAGACCCAAAAGTGACTAAAGCCCAAAAACTCAGGCAGTGAGTCACCAACCTTTTGCTCAGCATTTGCTGTGGCCAAACACAAACACCGCTAACAACGGTAGTTTAGTCAACATGCCCCCTTCAAACATTGAAAAGGTCAACTCTAGGTATGTATTCCACCTCCACGCCCCGTCCCCCCCGGCCTCATTTGGCCTTACTAAGGCTTATTACTCCTGGCCCCTTGGGCGTAGGGTCCCTGAAACTCGGTCGCAGCTGAGGGTCTGGCATGCCAATCTCTGCCTGAGCTTCAGGCACTGAATTGCGCGCTTCTTGGCCTAAAACATAAAATGGCTTTGGAAGAGAGCCCAGAAAAGGGCAAAGAGGTCACACAAGTCTGGTAATGAGTTGAAAGGGCATTTTGCAAAGGCTTTTGCCAGGAAACAAGGAACCCTCTTGAACGATACCAACAAACATGCTGAAAGGAAGCCGACCCATCCCGCACAGCGAAAGGGAATCCAAACCGGCTGGACCCCAATGAACAATACTGTAAGAACATCTGCTGTCAGTAGTCGTACGAACGCGTGACAATCGTGCGAGAAATGGCACACGGACCATGTTTTGTTCTAAACCCGATACTCTTTTCTGCAACACCACTAGGGAACATACCGATGTTGCAATTATGTTGTCCGTCGCTTCGCGATTTGGGGCCACAGCAAGGGAAGCCACAGCAATCCAATTGTTAGGGCCTATAGGGACCATCCAGGACAATCAAGCATGATCTTTTGAGTTGAGACTCTGACACTGCACTTCACTCTTTTCAGCTTGAAAGTGCAATATGGGACCCTGCATGGTGCTCACAATCCGTGAATCCGGTTGATCTAGAAAACTGCTGAGAGACCCAGTTCCCAGTGTGCTCTACAAAAGAAGCTTACAAGCAGGCTTGCTTTCTTTTAGAGGCATCCGGTGACTTCCAGCTGACTTACGGTGTGTGCAGGGACCGTCTGCACATATAGCCATAATCACCCAACCAACAACGAGGCATCCAGGAGAATTAAGAACCGAGAAACCCTTCTCTGTGGAATGGCTCATTAGACCCAAACACAATCTATAAAATATGTGACGTTCACCGCGGAAAATGGACGGGGTGCTTTGAAAGTAGGGGATGCCTCGAATAACTCAACATGACATGAGCCCAATTGATCACTTCTGACTCACTGTGTGCTTACAAACCCGATTGTTTGGATGTGTTTGGAGGGAAATCCAAAGGTATATTTGCCGCACTACCGCAGAACCTTTGGAGCAAATCCAAATCGGATATACTACATGACCGTTATATGGCAATGAGATCCAATTTGGGAACCCTGTGGCGTGTTTCCTTGGATTACGCCTCTTTCTTTCGCCGAAAAAACTCAAGTCGTGTTTCCTGACAAACCTTCTTTGGATGGCTTTAGAGGGAAACAACTGGAACACGCACCCAAAAGGACGAGGAGGGCTGCATCTCCCTTCATGGTTGGATTGGCAAACAGCCCATAATGTTGATTGCCACTAACATGGTTTCCGCAAAAAGTAGAAAGTCCAGGAACAAAGGGAGGGACAATATGTATATATTCACCATGTATAAACAGGACAACAACGATATCAAAAGACAACCCAGGAACTCAGAAGGTGAGCAATTTGACAATCCTGGCAAAGCAAAGGGCTCTTTGCGACTTGGGCCCCATCTCGGCTGCGAACAGCAGCAAGGCTGCCTGACAAAAGCGTCAACTGCAAGTCAAGGGGCGGCAAAGCTTTTGACCAGTTGCCCTTTTGAAAGAAGAACACCACCACTTGAATAAGGAGACCCGGACAGAACATAGCACTTGCACCAAGTATTGCACACCCTATGTTCAATCAATCTACCTAAACATGGTCTGACTTTTTTTGGGAGTGTCGTGACCTCGTTTAGCGAGTGAATGCAACAAGGAGCCCCGGCTCTTCAAGAGAGGTTTGGTGGTTGGACCCGCGGTATATATTGCAGCGGGTTTGGGCAAAACGAAGGGCCACACTGGCCCAACCAGCGAAATCTTGAGAACCAGAGGGTTCAACTAACAGGGCTTGTCTCTTCTGATTGAAGCAGAGCCTTCGTAAATTTAGGGCTCAGAAGCCGGTGTTCCACGGCCCAATTGAAGGCCCATCACTCGTTGGCATATGCACGCAAAAGATACACAAACAACAGGAAACGCAGTGAAACTAAACCAATTGTCTAGTTACCCTTCTGGCCATCCCTGAAACGCTGGGAGCAACCTTAAAACACAGTAGATATTCGGTATTCATTGCAAAAACTTAGGCTTTCAGCGGATCTGTCAGGAATCACTGCGAACTCTACAAACATCTAAAACTGTAAAAGGCTAAGGTAAACGCAAGGCTGGGAACAACCAAGACATAAATGTCTGGCCTGGAGCACGCAGAACTTGGACTCTACCTTCAAAAACTTCAGGCATTGTTGACCCCGGTTCTAAGCAAATCCTAGCGGATGAACAAGGCTGTGGTGTTTTCCCGTTCAGCTGGGAGAGCCATAAGATTCCACACTGGGTTCGACCAGTCCACCCCGTTGCTGGCGAGCCTGCCATCGCATGCCCTTGTAACCTCGATCGAACCGGGATTCGCGACAGGCGAACCCCAGGAAACATTCGGATGGAACCAGGTTGCTCCAGCCGACCCGATCGGCACAAGGGTGGACACTTGGTCCCTACTAAAGGGAAAGCAGCTGGCACCAAAAATATTTTCGACCCTGGTGATCTGGTCATTGTTTTGAGCCGAGCAACCCTGAAAAAAGGAGATTCCTCCAAAACGACGGCTGTTTGGTAGCCTTGTGAATATTCAATAAAGTCCCCGCTCGCATAAAAAGGTGCATCCAGCATGGTCAATGGAGTGCTCAGGCTTGCTCTTGAGACCCGGGGCATCTTTGGGCAAAACAATGGATTTCTTTGATGGATTGTCAAAAGGGTTCCTGTTGGTTTCCTAGCCAAAGCAACCCCAGAAAGGGTTGGGAAGCACGCAGAAATCTCATCGACGTGTTTACTCTTAAGCTTCGGTCGGCTGGAACCGGCGCAGAGCAATCCCGATGGAAGCCCAACTCAACGTGCAGCCTGTTTGTTCTGGATCATGGCTGTGCGAACTGTTGCGATTCCCAGGTTGGCCATGCTTACTTCATTGAATTGGATGACCCAAGGGTAACGCAGAAAGTGGCCCAACACCCCAATTCCTTTTCGTACAACCAGGAACATATTAATGATTGTTGAAAAGGAAGTCTCAATTAAGAACCACGGCAACGCCGGGAACGAACTTGATCCTTGAGCCACGCTACCCCATGGCAACCGTCGACTTGTGAGCTTGGTTGGTTCTGAACGACACGATCCCAGAAACAAAACCTTCCAGGAAAAAGGCACGCTCCAAGACAAATGTTCAAGAAAGACATGCGCCAATGCCCCTCAAAGGCTCAAGTAACAACAGGAACTGGACCCTGACTGAGCCGAAACCCCAGAAAGAAATCCAAACCCTGGCTTAGTCTTACCCAAACAGGAGCCAGGGCCAGGGCTCCCGAAACTTGCTCCTTAAGCATCACTCCACTCAGAAGCTCACCTCAAATAATTGGCCTTTCCAAACGGTGTTCGGAGCACGGGGAATATGGGGAGCGTGCCAACAGACTATGAGAAATCCTTCATGTAAAGAACCAATCCCAGTGGATCCCAGGCAGGACAGTGGGCAAACAAACGTCTGGTCTTACCCAAATTTACCTACTTGCAGCTTAGTGAGAGGAATTTAATTTGCACAAGAAGTTAAAGATTAAAATCCAACCCACCAGCATTCAAAATCACTCCTTGAATCTATTGACTTCTTCTATTGGGCCACTGGAACTGGAGATGTGCCTCTGACTGGATGCAGCCGAAGTGCAGGCCGAGATGGCCACGTTGCAGCTGATGTGGTCCTGCGCCGCCTCGGCCAAAGTCCGGAAACCCTGCCAGAAGGGAACTGGTTGCAGCTCCACCAAAAGCCCCGTTTTGGCCGTAACAAGGTCTGGGCGGGCTTTTCTTGCAAACATAGTGGTTGTGACTACTAACTCAACTAGTCGAAGGGCGAAGGGCACCAAACACCTTTTCAAGCACCTTTTGAAGTGCTCCAAATGCTTCCTTATGCGGGGGCTTTGACTCAAGAGTCCCGGCCGTTTGTTAGCGCGTGGCAGTGTTCCAAAGGTGCCTTCTTGGATTCCCAATGATTGTTCAACCATTGTGTTTCTTGCTCCAAAACCAGGATTGTTCTCCAAAACCAGCCATCGCTTTTAGGTTTGTTCGTGGCTCTCTGGAGAGGAGGATGCCTGGAAAGAATGGTTGGAAGTAAACCTCGCTTGCGATACATCGGATTGGCCCAAAACAGTTGGAGTCCAAGCTTTTGATGTGCGAGGCAACTGGTTGTCCCAAAAGAATAAAGTTTGGGAACCCAGGGATCGAGTATTTCCAGAACTCACTTTCAGTTGGCCCAAACGGTGCTTCGCAACACAACTAACTAAGAGGGAACATATGGGTATGTGATCGTGTAGGGTATGTACCACTTTTGGGTCTTAGGTTAAAGGAAGCCAAAAGGAAGTCCGCAATGCTTGGTGTTCCCTACTTTGACACACAGTGCTGTTCAAACTGGATTGTTGGCCAATCCATCTACACTCCTTGGAAAAGTGCCCCATTGGGGGTACACAATTGTCCTTGAACAGCGCAAAGGCAAACTACAGAACTGTTGCACTGTGGTCCTGGCGAGGGGATGGGCCAACAACGCCAGAGCTCGCTGCCACTCGGCACCCTCCGGAAGCAGCGGAGGGACCACCCCCCTTCGCGATCTCAACAGTGGTTCAAGCGAAAAACTGGATGGCAAAACCTCGTGAAAGCTGTTTGGTGGGAAACATCAGCATATCCCGAAAAGCAGAAGTCTGATCCAACCAAAGAGCTGCCAAGAGCAATAGGTCCCAACCAGGTGATTCATAAACAGGGGTTGCCCGCCAGAACATGTTAGTTAGCATGCTCTTCTAGAACTCTGTGCTTCAACAAAGCTCTCTGACCAAACTACGAATCAATTCACGCACCAGGCATAATGCAAAGCCCCAGTAAGGCCTTCGTCACGGGAATCGAGCTGGTTCTACCCTCCACCGGCGAGATGTTGTCTGAAGAAGTTACAGGTTGGAATGCAAATAGCATTCAAGGGGTACACTCACTTTGTGAAAGAATGGTACATTGATGACGGCTGCGTCCAAGGCCGATGGTGGCCGTTGTAGTCAGAACCTTCTCTGCCTTAGGGATTGTAGTAAGGAGAAAAGCTCTCAACCAAAGCCGTTCAAGCACTTGGATATGTATTGGCCACAAGTAACTCTCCGTCAATGCTTGTGCAGGTAGGTCTTGTTTGGTTGTTCCTGCATGAAGCAGGTTCGGCGGATCTTCCAAGAAGGGGGGAGCAAGGCCGAACCTGATGGAGCTGATCGCCCTTGGATTGGCAGCGGCCGGCAAGGCTGCTGCAAGTTGGTGAACGAGCTCGGCTTTGGTGGGGAGTTGATGGTGCCTCACCTGGCTGCTTGTCAAGGCAAGCTGCGAGGCCTGCAAAGAAGACAACCTCGCGCCCCAGCTCGCAGGACTCGAAAAGGCACTCTGTGCGCTGTGGGTGAACGTAAGCCAACTCACTGATGAACATACCCTGCTCAAGGCAGGTCGCCTTCCCTCCATGGCCAGCAAACCCCAAGCTGCAGGGTTGGAGCACGGATCAGTGAACAGCATGTGCTTCATGAAGTTGTCTGGGTTGCTTGAAGTGATACCCTGCAAAACGTTAAATCTTCCCAACCAAAAATTGCCTCGGTGCGGAACTTACCCAACAGGAACAGAATCACTGAAGCCAAAACAAACACAAACAGTCCACGCTTGGTTGTTGGCGGGTTTGCAAAGAAGCTCACCTAAAAGCTGAGAGAAGGACAAGGGGCGCCACCCCACCCCTCGCCTCCCCAAAAAGTGCAAAGGGCTTATTCGTTTGGAGAAGCCACGATATAACTGCGCCTATCTAACCAGGGAAACACAATTCTCACCTTCCGACACTTCAAGTTCGCATACATGCTCTGCAACAGTGGTGGCAATGATTCCTGATAGTGTCTGAATGCCGATCTCCCAAAGCAAAAGATCTTTTCTAAAATTAGACTTTTCTTTTTAATGAACCAGTGGTTTGTCTAATCCTGGGTCAAAATTAATTGCCAACTGGTTTCCCATGGGAAAATGGGCAGCTTTCTTTTTTTGCGTGAAGCGTCAATTGAGCATTGTTTCTTTTACAGGTTCAGGGCTTTTACACTGCTGGAGAGGCTACGCGGGGGGCTTCGCGGGGCCAGAACTCGTGGAAGGGTTGGCTTTGCGAGACTTCGCGGCAAGACTGTGGCTTCGCGGAGTGGCTTCGCCGGGTTTCGCGGATGCTTGTTAAACAAACATCTCTGACGTTTGCGCTCTCATGCAGTTGAATCACGTTAAGTCCGTGCGAAGGGGGGGGATGAAGGCGGTAAGAGAGACATTGAGCTTCAGGACATGGCTGGGCCTCAAAGGCGGAGCATGGAAGTTGGACCGCGGTGGCTTCGCGGAGGCTTCGCGGGGGCTTCGCGAAAACGTTCCATCGTTTCTAGCAAAACCGGGCCTGAAACGCACAGTGCTCTTCCGGTCGTCTTCCTGTAATCTTCCTGTAGTCTTGTCGTAGCCTTCTGACTCTAAACATCAACCTTTGGCATGCTACTGCCATGAAAGCACACAACACACTTGCCATTTGCCATGATCGCACATAACACACTCCAACCACGAAGTGGCTTCGCAAAGTGGCTTCGCCTGTGTGAATGTTGCCGGGCTTCGCGAATTGATGCGAATTGGCTTCGCGGGGCTTCGCGGCACACAATGTATCACACAAGTGCCTTCGCGGACCTTTTGGGAGTTCCCCACAAAGCTAAAATCCATCATCTGAGACTGTGGAAAAAAAAAACGCTGCTCAATTGGATGACTGGGGAGCCCCATTAGATAGTTTCCTGAGTCCATACGTAAACCTCCATTTGAATTCGGGCAGGAAATGATACCTGTTTCGAAGCTTGTAATGGGAAGGAACTAACATGAAGCCTACCAAACTGGCTGATTCCCGCTTTTGCCTTTTCTCCAAGCAAAAGGGCGAAGCTTTTCGTGGGCGTCTGCAAATTTTCGGCAGGTGCCAGGAAATAGCCTTGGCAAAGGTGGTCAGCATGCTGTTGAAGCTAATGAGATCTGGCCTCGCGAATGAACGTTACTTGCGACAACTCTCTGTTGGCCTATGCTGTGCTGCCCCGAACGTCCTCAACAGTGGCAAGTCCTCAAACTGCACCTTCCGGTAAGACTCTGGCTCCGATACGCCTGAAATGATTCTCTGGGATCAGCACCCTTAGTTTTGAAGCGGGAATTTCCATGGGACCGCCACGCCCTGCCCAAGCGAACAATCACACATGATAATACATGAAATCCAGGAGGTGGCGGCCTAAGATCACTAAAAATTGGCCTTTCCAACTGGTCAGGTCAGGCTTCAAGCCACCAGCAAGGGAACATAGTTGGAACCCCCAGAATGTTCACGCCTTCCTCCTCATGTCGCTTGAAGATTTTCCACACTCTGGGGAGAGAGAAAGTTCCTCAGCCGCCCAAGCAAGGTCCGTTCTTGTCAAGAGAATGCTCAGCGGCCTTGCAGGCTACTTAGGATTTGGAAGAAGCCATGGGCATTTGAAGTTGATGTGGGAACCATCGGAGTAGATCTTGAGAGACCATGGGTAGATTATCCAAAGAAACACAACCAGACTTGTCAGCGGATACAGGTGAAGCTTTCACCCTGGGCCTTCGACCGTGAACAGCTTGGCGCCACCATGGAGTGGAAGTCATTCTCCATCCAGGGTGTTTTTAGCGATTGATGGCTTCAGGCAATGAAACAACCCTGAGGGCTGGGCTGAAACAAAAAACACATTCCTGGGTTTATGTCTACCTTGGAAAACAAAACAGTGGAGCCCTGTCTCCATCTGCTTGGTCAACCATGTTCAAACCTGTATTCTTGAAACATCACAGGTTCATCGGTTCATCTGGGTATTTGGAGACAAACATGAAACTTGGCTAGTCCCAACACAATTGGTTGTAAAATCAGGGCTCGTAAAATCTAAAGGCCGTTTTAGTTGGTGGTACTACTGCCTGGTTTAACAAGACGTATAGCAAGCCCTATACTGTCATAACCATCTTAGAAGGCCTATATAAACCTTCATACCCATCTCGAACAGTAGAAACAAATATCAATGGCTTTGGTCGCTTTTCTGATTGACAACCACGGCCCATCTGCCCCGAGGCGGATGAGTCGAAGGGAGCCTCAGGAGCCGCTGCTGCATGCACTGCAGTGCTGTGAGCGCCAGCTCCTTAGCTCAGGAATCAGATCCGGCTCAAGGGCTGTAGCAATAAATGGGCTAAAGTACTTGGAATAGGGATGGGGTACTTTTAGAACCCAAATTATGAGCAATTAATAGTAATTATCCAACCCCTCATTGTGTTCCCAGCTGACGTGCAAAATTCGGTGAGTGTGTCCCGTGTCATCCCTGCTACGGTAAAATATTGACCGTTGGCTAGGTAACTCCGTGGCTCTGTCAAGTCCCCGGGTGTACCCGCAATGACCCTAGTGGCTCCATACCATATACCCCGCACACAGGCGGTACATGCCGAGAAGGAGGTATGGGATGTTGCCTACCATACTCTTGTTCCCCAAAAGCTGGAGGTCTCAGAGTGGTGCCTTTTCCAAAGGGTGACTACCCCCAAAATCACGGGGCCCCAAAGGAAAATGGCATGAAGAGGGCATGTTGCCCGTCCCAGTGCCTGCAAAAACAAGGTGTGCTAATTATCGCAAGCAAACCGAACACGATGAGGCACCCTTGTAGAGATCTTTGGTTGGGGGTGCAAATCCAATCCTGTAAACTTCTTGAGTGGAGTGGCAAAAAAAGCTCCGAACTTTTTGTTTGCCACATAAACGTGTTGTTGCCAACAAGTATCAGGTTTGGGAACTCAACACAACATTCACTATATTTCCACTTTAAGCCTCACGCTGCCAAAGGAACCCCTTTCAATTGGCCAGAAAGCGATTCTTGTAACCATCCCACAAGAGAAGATTACACAGCCAGTTTGGGCTAAAGCAAAACCATAAGGGCAAAAAGTTAAGAAGGCTTTCGCCAACTCTGGTAATGTTTCGAGGTCCACACCCACTGCGACTCGCACGCAGCCAGGAAGGCCTCGACTCGAAGCAATCGAGCGTCGAACTCGCCGATCGCCTCGAAAACAAACGCGTGACGTGACCCCTCCGATCCCAGCTGATACCTCAAACACGGAGAAGGCAAAAGGAGTTCAGAGCAACAAAAGAAGAGGGGGAGTGAGCCTCGCCCCTTTAAATTGAAAGGGTGCAACACACACACAAAACACGATAAACAAAGGCACAAGGAGTGCAAACGTGGTGAAACAATACTGGGGCCCTGCCCCACAGAATCATCTTCAATGGCACCCGTCCACTTCCATGATTGTTTGAGGATCGGGAAGCCCCTTTTGGGTAGTATGAATAGGAAACCAGCTTCCCAAACCACCGAAAGGGTGGGATATGACACTTGCTCAGGTGCTTTCATAAAGCAAGCAAACAACGTTGCCCTCTTGTCAAAGATCACCACCGGGCCACCGCGCTAAGAAGCCCTTTCAGGAAAAAATATGGTCTTCACGCTCGGGGTATATGGGGTTCTCAAAAATACGTGGACTCCCCAAACGCGTTTCCCTTTTGAATCAACCAAAACGGGAGTTCCGAGACCTGGGCAAATAACCATAATCACAAACCAGAACTAAGGAAGCCCAACGAGGGCTTTCGTGGGGCAAATCGCTCCCAACTTCGGGCTGTGAGCTCGCTTGTCCGGATCGGGGCACAGGCGTTGTAGCTCACCAGATCTGGCTGCAGAAGGTGCAAGGCTTGCCTGGCCGGGAGCAAAAACACACCACATTTTCGAAACCGCGGCTTCGGGCAGCCCAAGGGCTTACTTGGAAGCGCCCATACCGATGGACAAAGACCTGCACAACCTGGAATGGATGACAGCCAACACAGAATGGGACGAATCATCCACCCCAACAATATTGGAATAAGCCAATTTTATCACCAGGCCCACAAATATGTGGCGATAATACTGCATCTACCCGCTGGTGCAGTCCATCCACAGTAACTGACGTGGTTTACAATTTACAACTACCAAACCTGAAATGAGGATTGGACCACCAAGTAACGCGGGCTCGCCATAAACTAGCGAATACAATGGTCGTCTACCACTCTCGCAGATTGAAATGGAATCCACCAAAGGAGGTTCCCTAAAAGGAGATTGATCCAAGACGATGCTTGTTGATTCTTTTTTTGGGGGGACCCTACCCAGTTGCAACCGTTGACCCTGGTTGACCAAGCGAACGTCTCAGGCCTTACCCCAACCCTCTTCGCGACCTGTTGACGGGCCTCCATTGCTTGCTCGCTGCGCAGGCGCCTCAGGAAGAGCAACCCGTTGCAACGGGCGGAGGGTACGATGGACGCAGAGACACAATTGTGCAACCACCTTTTTTTGGGTATGGGATTTCTGGGATTGCTTTTCTGATTCGACCCGATCGTCTAGGGTATAGGTTGGGCCCCTGGCAAGGAACAACAAAAGGACCCCTCCTACCAATTTTCTACCCTCACCACCGTTGAGCAATGGCTCGAACGAGGGGACCCCTTTGGGTTGACCGTATTTTGAGCATCTCATAAACAAGCGATACAAAGTTTCAGCCTTTTGGGATAGGTTCGTTTGGAGGCGCAACGCAACCACGAAAAAAAAGCAACTCGCTGCAACAGGAGGGGTGGCCTCAGGGCTGTTCAAAACATGGGCTGCCTTTCAGCCCGTAGAATCGATTGACCGCCCAAATCCAGTTACATGGGGATCTATCCAGAATTTGGGGAGCAGCTTAAAGGATTAAAGGACATCAGAACCCTTCCCATTTCACCACAATTGGGTTTGGACCAAGTGGTGGTTGATATCTAAATCTGAATCATCAATCTGGCCGAAAGGACCTGGACAACCGATGAACCTTTTTAAGCTTTGACCAAGCAGGATTGCTCCAAAGATGCTGGAACCAGGATAGCATAGGTCCCGAATGAAAGAACAGCAAAGGAACCACACCACATTTCAGGTTTGGTCGACTTTTAGGACGGGCCAACTGTTGCGGAATCGTTTCTTCTCCTTAATACATCTTACCAAGCCCGCTGACCCTGTGCGAAAAGTTGACTTTTTGCCAGCTGACTGATACAGGACCGTGAACACCGCCACACCGTCATACTATCCGTCGCTGTGTGTGCAGGATGGTTTATATTATATGCGCACAGAAGTACCAAACCACCAGCTTGCACCAAAGGCTTGCAGCCTCAGGCTCTGGCTGATGGCGGTGTTCACCATGGACACGCTCTGCAGTTGTTGCCTGCCATGCGCTCAGTCGTCATTTTGTCTTTTTCTGTTCACCTGGGGTATGGGTTGGACTAACCGTCGCCCCCGTTTAAAATACGATCCGAGTGGTCAGTCTCAAAAACATCCTCCACTTTGTGGCGCAGGGGTCTGGCCGTGAAACCTTTTGCATCCGCACCACATGTAGTCTGTACCACCAACTGGACCTACACCTTTCTTTTCTCAAAAGTGTGTTCTTGGAAATGAGAGACATGTCGGCAATCTCACCACAGCGCCGGCCCAAAGCTGGAAGCTTGGCTGGATACCAGCCCTGTGTATGAGGTTTTTTGTGGCTTAGGCCCAAAGATGTGCTTGGATTCCGTATTTCTCTAGACTCTAGAACATAAATGACTCCGTACACCTTTGGCTTTCCTCCAGAACCAATCGAACACGATGGCATCGAATTGGCGCTTGAAAAGCAACGTTCCCTCTAGTTTGACACATATCCACTAACGGATATCATGTTAACCCCTGACCAGAAAAGGAGGTACTTCCCATGGACACCTAGTTGTTTAATCAAAAGTATACCTGGGAACATTGGGTATTTGGGGCAGGAGCGCTAAAAGAGGTGCACGGAAATATAAAAAAGCGAAGGCCAAAGATCCAACTTGCTGGCATTCAAGTGGAGTGGGTACCCAATTGAACCATTTCGCTCGCGCCCGTTTGGAGCGCTCAGCTCTTCATTCGGATCGTGTGCCTGCGGGCAGTCCGCAGGAAGCCGAGCGCCTGCTGCCAGGCGTGGCCCTGTCCCAGTCCGTGGCGGCGAAGCAGAGGGACGTGATGAGTTGACGTTTTGCTGAAAGACAAATATTCATTGGGATTCCTCACAAATTCCTCAGGCAAAAGTCTTAAACACGAGTATGGTCAACAACTGTCAGGTGATGAAGGTGTTTTGTTTGGGGGCGCCTAAAATTCAGGGTTTGGAATGGACGAATTTGTAGACTCTGTGGATACACAAAATCCACTTCACACCAACTGGTAGGTGGTTTACCCCAGTATTTATAAGTTGCATCCGTCCCAACTGGTGCAGCGCTTTGTCCATCCACTGAACTGAACCCAGTGATTCCATTTCTCTACGTAGGTAACCAAGGAAAGCTCAAAGAAAGCTGGCCGAATACCTGAATCAGCGGCAGCTGGGATGCACTGGGAAAAAGTGTCTGGGGCTCCAACAGACCGCTGCTAAAGACAAAACAATTAAACTCCAAGGGTCACTCTCTGTCCAGCAAATAATGTAAGTGGAAAACAGGGTCCCCAAAAAGAAAGTTGTCTTCTCCACACATCCCTGTCAGCTTCCATGCTTGTTGGAGGAAGAGCCTCCTTTCTTTTAGGGCGCTAACTCACACACACACACATACGGCATGGGAACACACATATATATATATTTATATATATATATATATTCATATGTATGTTGAAATATTTCTCTCTGAGGGTGCACATATCTTTTAAATACGGTCAACCGCTTTCAGACTTGGCTTCGTTGGTTCTATTTGTTCCCTTTCAGAGACAGTCCCTTTTTTTTACGACCCCCCTCTTCCACGACTGCCTAGGCTCAGGGCGTTGACCCCAACTGGACAAACAGGCTCCCGCCCTTAAGCCTTTTGGAGCCTCACCAGGGTACCCGGTCTGGGGAGAACCATGGAAAAGGGTCAATCATGGAGCACAGCTTGGGGGCGATACTGAAACTGGACTTTTTTTGGGAAAGACTTCCTTGGGACAAGTCAGCTAAGGTATGCCCTCTCTCCCATCACAGAAGCTGCTTCCCCTGCAAGGAAGATTAGATTTGGGGTGCTGATCCTGCCCGCTGAGGCCATCCGTGGCCTGGGCGCAAGCACTCACTGCGCTGGTGAAGGAGACGCTGTTGGGCCTTGGAAAAATGAGGCCCGACGATGCTGATGCTACCCGTTGCGTGTTTTCTGCCGGTTGTGCCTCCAAGTCTTAGGTCTTTGTTTCCAAGCCCAGGTATCGCAGCTTTCTCAGCCCGCCATTGCGAGCTACGGAGCCGCCAATATACAACTTTCAATTGACAAACAATGTCACATTTTGCGTCTTCGCCAGTCAAATGGAGGGCCACGCACACAGGTGAAACAAGTCAAATCAAAATCAACCATTGGACAAGGAGAAACAGAACCACCCTGGTTTTTGGGCTGGACATTGTGACTGAACCTGACATGTTCGAAAGCATCGAATCTCAACAGAAGGGCCCCGAAAAGAGCAATCGCTGAACATATGAGCATGCGGCCTACTCCCTACTCCAAATATCCGCCGTATGAAGGGTATGTTTGAAAGAATGGCTTTACTTTGGACATACCAACCTGTTGACCTCAGGAGTCAACAGGATACCCCAGAAAAAAGAAAAAACAAGTGTTTGGAGCAGGGTGTAGGGTGGTTTTAAGGAAAGACGCGGAGGTCCACCCATTCATCCTTTTTGGGTGGCTTAAAAAGTAACCTTTTGTAAACGCCAAGTTCGACTTGATGGCCATTACCCCCTGCCCAGTGATGTTTGTAGCCTAGTGGGACAATCATCATTTCCAAATGCTAAAAGGTCACAGATCCACCCCCATAACAATCAAGACGTTCTGGAAAGGCCACATTTTACTTAGCATTTCCTTTGGGGTAGGGTGGAATCATCGTCTCGGGGAGCTGCCAGGACATTATTTAACGGGCCTTTATTAACCCTAGGTCACCATTAACTTGAGCATCCTCATTCAACCCAACTCTGCAACCTGCACAAGAACACATCCGGGCAGCTACAGCTACATGCGCCCAAACAAGTAAAGAACTCAGAACAAATCTGCATTGAAAGCAAGCCTCTGATCAACCGTGGTAAACATCTTGTATTGGTCATGTTCCCGCAGAACGTCACGTTCGCCCACAGATCAGCAGTTGCGGTTTCTGGGTGGGGGGTTTATATGTCTTCTCTTTGTTGACCAGCAACACAGTTTAGGGTTGGGGGGTTTTGGGTTTCTGGGTGGGGAGGCAATGTGTCTTCTCTTTGTTGACCAGCAACACAGTTTAGGGCGGGGGGGGGTTCGGGTTTCTGGGTGGGGGGCTTATATGTCTTGTCTTTATTGACCAGCAACACAGTTTAGGGTTGGGGGAGTTCGGGTTAGCCGGTGGGGGGGGCAATGTGTATTCTCTTTGTTGGGGGTTTCGGGTTTCTGGGTGGGGGGGGTTGACCAGCAACACAGTTTAGGGTTCGGGGGTTTCGGGTTTCTGGGTGGAGGGGATATGTATCTTCCCGGAAGAAGAAAGCCGAGCTGGCATTTTGCGGCGGGGGGCGGGGGCGCGGGCAAACGTAGAGTTCTGGGTGAACATCTTGTATTGGTCTGCTTCCTTATTTCGAACCAAGCCATCTTCTTCTGTGTAGATCTTCGTAACTAGTGCGGATGTCCAAGCACCTGTTGCTCAAGCAACCACTGATTGCTTCCCCCTTCCAAGGGTGACCCCCATTGGGTGCTAACAATTGAGGGTTCTCGGCTGCCACATAACCATCCTTTGGTGCAAGCGATCGAAACCCGTTTATTAGAATCCGGGTTCTCCTCTTTGGCCCCCGGCGGAGGACCCCGCAGTTGCCTGCAACGGATCCAACCTGTGATTACCCATTATTTTTACCAACCCTCACTCATTGAAAGGGGTGTCCCAGATCAAGATGCGCACCTGCAAGTCAACATTGCCATTGAAACGTGTTGCGCGGGTAGTGCTTATGTAAGGGAGGAAACCAAAGCCCAGAAAGACACCATCGTTCTGAGAACCCCTCCGGCAGGTAGGGGGGCCCCGGCTTCGTCTTCTATCATACCATCCTTTGCTTGGCGGCTATAAGGCGGTGTCTTGCTACGGAGCTGGAAAGTAAAGCCGCCGAGCTTTGGGAAAGCATTTTGCATACCCAGTCACTTGTTTGTTGTCAAAGTAATTCTTATTTACAAAGAATGAAGGACACCGTCACCTGGCTTCCCGTCCACTAACATGCATCCCACCACAGGGTCCCTGTTAATGAGTGGACCTAATAAGGTTTAAGTTCGACTTCTTGGTGGGCGCCTTTCGGGATTGGTGCCCTTGGTGTTGTCTGAATCCCTAACAAATCCACACTGTTAAGCTCCACCTTGATACCACCAGCCTGATGAAGAAGCACATGGCGAAGTGAAGTCGAAACCGAAACACATCTCTGAACTGCATAATCTTCATAATATCCAAACTTTGAAAGTTGCTGCAGGAAGCCTAGAAAGACCATTCCAGTGCTTCCAGTTGCCGCTATAACCTCTAGGCTTCACATCATGGTGTCCCTTGGTTGCCTGTATGTAGTGGTATATAACTGAAGCAATGGGTACTACCAAGGGGGCTGTCCCTGTGACTACCTCGTCAGTTGAAAGAGATGCCTGGCGGGTATCACAGAAAATGGCCCTACACTCCTGCAGATTAGCATGGTGGTCCGAGTCTAAAAATCAAACTCTTTTTGGGGGACCCTTTGGGTTGGCTTCCGAGTTAATCGGCACGGCGAGCGACAAAAACAGCAGTCAGTCCAGGATTCGGGGCGCCTGCTCAAATGATTTGGCCGAGGTGTTGTGTTGTCCCCAAGACAATCGGGCGGATTCTACACACATAATCCGAAGCCTCTTTCCCACAACCATGAACAACCAACGGTAGACTGAACATTAAGAGGGAACAAACAACAAACATGAACGAAAAGGAAAACCCAGCTTTCCAATTTTGGAAAAACAACTTCGCGGGGAGGGGGCAGGAAGAGGAATCCCCACGGAAGCAGAACAGTAACCACCAACATCCCTGCTTCCGCCGTATCCTTACCAAGGCCTCAAGATAGAGGGCGATTGATTGCCCAAACATGGGGAGCTGTGGTGTTTAAGTACTTTTCGGGTCACCGGAAAAATGGGGAACTGCTTAAAAGCAAGTTTCCCACTTCGCCACTACCGCACGAAAACCAAGAACCAAAACGCCAACAAGTTGCAAGCGGCGCAGCAGTGCGACACTGCGCTGCCACTGACTGGCGAGCTCGTGCCTGACACCGTGGGAGCCCAAAACAGAAGCCGCACTTTTCGTGAAGATAACTTGGTACCCGGCCTGGCACGCCATTGTCGACAGTTGGGGTTTAGGACCCCTTCTGGGATGTCTTTCAACCTTCTGGCTCCGGACGTGCTCTGCAACTTTGGAGTGCGAATTCCAATCTAAAACGCGTCGAGGTTGATCGGGAACAACTGGTTTGCATGCAATCCTAAATTATCCGCAGCATTTCCTGGGACTAGTCCTGATCCACCTATAGTAAACGCTAACGAAAAGAAAAGAACTAAGAAAACAGAAGGAATGCTCATTACACCATTGTATATCATGGATTGGAGACATATGCAGAATGCGAGTTAGTTTTGTGTGTGCCAGTAAACATACAAAGATTGCAAAACCCGTAGACAAGCTCTTTTATCACTTTCTAAACCTACAGCATACTTAGGATGTCCCCAAGCAATACTGCCAAAAAGAGAAATGGATTACATGGCAATAATCATTGATTGATCATCAAATGTTATCTGTAAAGTCTCGAACTGACTATGGACATGATCCCAAATGCTGGGATTTTCAAGATGTAAGTTGTAAGCTTCAAGACTATAGGATTGAAATTGAATAAAGCATCTGGACCAAAACAAACTTTGCTTGAATGGGCCAATAACTTTGACACTCACAATCACAATGCAAACCATTTCGGACTGCTCCAAAGGGAAACCATCCCGATACCAAGTGTTTGAAGGGTTTCCTGGCTGGACACATACCCAAAATGGCCCAAGATCGCACAAAAAACGAGCAGCGCCCAATACCCATTGACTTGTGGTTCTGGTATCATTTCTGCTGATACCATAACCTACAGGAAATGCTGTTTCTGCCTTGCGCTCAACATTTTAAACCGCTAGGCCGGAAGCGTTTCGCACATGATGCCAGTATGTATTGCGCACACAGCCACACACACACACGCGCAGAAGTTGCGAGTTAAACAGCGCTCGCTCCTCATTTGTGTTCAGTTTATTAGTTGAACTCTTCATCTTCATCTTAACGTAGCTACTGGCAGTTTGGTTGGCGTAAGTTTGCATTGCATTCTTGTAGAAGCCTTAACTATAGATTGGGCGTATGCTACGCTACTACGACCCGGCCGTTCCACACCTCGCTTTTTGAGGATAACAGTGTTTGAGGGAGACCATGGCCGAAGCCCGTCCTGAGGTCCTGAGGGTTGGTTGGAAATCGAAGTTCCTTAGGGGGAATCGCTTGGATAGGTATGGTCCTCCAAAAGAATCTGGAGTTCACAATAGGACATGACAGGGTTCCTTGGCATTCTCTTCCAATGACACTCAAGATAAAACTCGCGTTAGGTGAGAACGGGCCATGTTTAAAACCACGCTTACACTTTGCAGGGTACCTGAAAATATGGGACCCCTGTTGGGGGCCGTGGCAACGGAGGGTGAGCGGAAATCGTGCTGCAACAACATCATATTCGATTCTTGATCAGAGGGTGTCCCATTCTGGAAGAACTATGAATCACTTTGGGGAGTTGAACCCCACCCCCAGTGAATCTGCAGAATGTAAGAATCCGGGATCGACCATTTTGATGTTCACCGTGGTCTTTCCTGGGCGCACATCTTCGGCACGCAGAAAAACATGTTTTAGACAATTTAGGCTACCCCAAAATGTCAAACATCCTTTTAAGCTCCAAATATCCTTTCAGCAAGCCCCATTCAGCGCTCTCCCTGAGCGTCCGGGCGCTTTCATGAGCGCAGTCCACACCACCACGTTGGGACTTGCCGTACTCTGCCTTCGGAAAGGCTGCCCGGACCCGCAACGCCGGGTCAAACGAACATCAAACACCAATTTGTGGCTGGACAAAGGTCCTTCCCACCAAAACCCAAGACAAAAAGCAACTCGCTGGCAAAGGACCTGGATGAAAAGAGGTGACTTGGAGCGCCTTTGCTGCACATGAGAGATGCGTGGGACAAAATGACCAGGTCTCTCCTTCTCCGATCGTATCCGCCTCATCGCTGCCAGGCAGTCGACGGCTGCCTGGCACGAAGCGTATGATAACTTGGCCCCGGCTGCTTGGACCACAGAAAATACCATGAAATACCAAATCCACCTCAGCTTCCGCCCCCCCCCCAACCGAAACTATTATGTTTGATTCGGGTCCATATTAAGTGAACCTTAAGCACACAACAAAAAAAGTCAAAAGAGATGCCAAACATGTTAACAGGTCGATGCACTCGGAAGAAAGAAAGCCCTGCTTTTGGAGCGTGAAAGGGCCAAAAGAGCCCCGAAACACTCCGTGTCGCGTGCATAAACGTGATCCGAACACCCTCCTTCCTTTGACTTGTGATTTTGTCTATGGGAGTCAACAGTTGTTGGGGGGTGCTGGCAGTATCTATACAATCGTGCTTCAAGAAGCAGTTTAAACAAACGAGAAAGCTGTAGTCTGAAAAAGAGCTGAGGACTGCAAGGGGGCGGGGGGGGGGGGGGGACTGCTCACGCGTCCTTGTCAGCAAACCCAAGTACTTGGGCGATCGTCGAGATGCAACCGCAGTGAAATTTCAGGTTTGTCCTCCTGGTTTGCTTGCGACACAGTGAGTCCCCCCATGCAGACTAGATATGTTCACCTAAATATCATATATGGGCATACATGCCAATGTTGATTAGAGACCCCTCGGACATCATTTGCAAGGGTAGCTGGAAAAAAAAACTTGAGGGGTCCCCATTGCAACTCATAGTCACGTCATGTGTATGTTGGTGTGCCTGTACAAATGCACATATGCATGTAATTAACATATATATATATATACACATCATGTGTACTGTATATTGTATCTTATTGAGCTTCCCATACTCCTGACAAATGGACTTTTTAATTATAGACCACCGGAGTTCTTTGACCATGAACCAGCGTCTGCTCGCAAACGAGCTCGGAGCCTGCCATTGGTGGCCACGACCACACGCATCAACCTCAAGTGGGCCGCTGAAGCGCGGCGGTTCATCCGTGGCATGACCTCCTCTTGGACATACGTTTTGTCATAAGGCTCAAAGTTAGGGTCTTATTTTGGGTTTGCTGAAAGCCTTGAGGTCTCTGCCAAAATAAGTGGTTCGCAGCTGCTCCGGGCAAGGGTTCCAGAAGGGTTTCGGGGGTTGTCCCTTCGTGTCATGTCCCTATCTTCTCTATCATGTAAAACGAAGACTCACCCATGAACATACTACGGGAGAACAAGGGACTCTAGTCACCGCTAGTCCAGCCGCCGGCATGTGGCTTTGGGACGAGTACAACAACAAGACAAGCTTAAACAAAATGCTGGGTAGGAAAACGGGAGTGGTGCCAAAACAGGAGGGAGAAAAACAGGAATGGGTACAAAACAAGACAAACCATGGGTGGGGTGTCGAAAAGCAGATAAATAAGCGGAAAAGGAGGGAGGGTGTACCCAAGAAAAAGCCAACAACGGGGGAGGTCGTACAGAAAAAGAGGGGTGGTGACACCAGAAAAAGCAGAGGAACAAGCGGCAGGTGACAGGAAGCAAAGCAGTTACAATCAACCAGAAGCCCTCAAACCCTTTGCTTTAAGATACCAATACCTCTAGTGTTGTATAAGTCTATCTACTGTGCAGGTAGCTGGAAGCACTAACAAGATTAGCAAAACCTGTCAATGTTGAAGGGATCTTATCGTCTACGGGGCTGGCCAGGATCTCCTTCTTGTTCTCAGGGGGCGGCTTGGCCCTGGCTGGAACTGGCAGCGGCTGCTCGTCCCTCACTATGATCTTGCCCGAGGCCCGGGAGGACGCGCCGAGCAAGCGGCAATGCAGAAGCCAATGCCGCGGGCTGCGCTGGCCAACAAGGCAACCGGATTTCACGGTTTGTCCGGGGGTTGAAAACAACCATGTAGCTTCCAGGATTGTCCGGTCTAGCCAAAGAGCAAAGGAAAACCCTGGTTTAGGCTTTAGGTACTCCCATTTGTTAGCGGCTGTTGATTCCTCGAGATTCGGTTGTCACACTCCTACACAAAGTAAATAACTTTGTAGTTTTGAAGCCGACTCATACACACATACAAACAACGATATCCCACGCATGCACACATGAACACGTGAACACAAACAAGCTGCATCCCCTCAAATCTCCCGAGCCGAACAGAACAAACACAGATTTGAGTGAAATGGGGAACCCCTCTGCAAACTAACGGGAGAGTGAATTCAGAAGGGGATCCTTGCCCCGAAAGGAGATCCCCCAAAAAAAGCACCTCCAGACGTGCTGTTCAAATTTCCAGGCGCTTAGAGTCCGTAGCGCTGCTCGTCAAAGCAGAATGCTCCTTCCGAAGAAGTCAGGATCTATTCCCAATTCAGGGTCTGCAATGAAAATTGCCCAACTTATCATAAGTGAAGAATCAGAGTGCTATGATTCCCTGGATGTTCTGTCATGCACCTTCTGTCTTTGCTAGTTGAGCGACTCAGCCATGTTTCTCAAGCTGAAGACATGATGAGTTTAGCCGTTTAGATGCTGACTGCAAAATTCCTATAGTTGTCTGGGGACCCCCCCGAGGGTAGAAACCTCCTACAATGCAGCGTACAAAGTCGTATTAGGCAGTATCAGGCACTATTACTAGCCCTGTTGGGATTGGAGGTTCTCCCCTTTGGGGTGGTTAAGAAGAAGCTAAAAGGGAAGTGGGCTCCTTGTTTTGCTCAGCAAACTTGTCTACTTTCTTGCGTTGTTGAGCGTTTTTCGAGATTCCTCCCAACGCATTCCTGATAGTTGGTTTCCACAACTCATGGAAGCATCGGGTTTGGATTAGTTTAAATTAGCTCATGTCCCTTGACCTGGAGTCTTCTTGACCTCGAACAAACAAGGTAATTTGCCCGTAGTTTTGGGCAATGAACAATTTTGGGTGTAGATGGCCCCTAGATGCTAGCAACCGACCAAACGGTCAGAAACAAATGTGCTTGATTCATAGCGGCTCGGATTCCGGCCACGCTGCTCCAGGTGACTTGGTCCGGCTGGAGCCGCGCCTGAAGCGAAGGCGCTCAACACCCCGTGCATTGGCATGTGTTTTTCTTAAAGGGAGCATAGTTGGCAATTACATAACCACATAGGGGCTCATACGAGTCGTTCATATAAGGGTTTATACATTCAGCCTCTGAACAACGGTGCCACGGCCCAACGTTTTGCGTATGTCATGGAGATGATTCCCTCAAAAGGAATGATGTTCGTGGTTGTCCAAACTCCCTGCTGAAGGAGGATCTCACACGAGTGTAGTCCTAAGTCTGTGCTTCAGCTGTCATATCGTTATACTTCGATTCTACAAACCTTGATGGGGACTGTTGTAGAAACCCGTTCTTGGCCCTAAAGCCAGGAAATGCATATGTACTTTTTGTTGTCATCCTAGTCAAAGGCAAAGCTGTGACCACCCGCCACACCCCGCCCCGCCACCCTCGCTCTCTCACCTGAAGCTCCGCCATCACGTGCAGGGCTCGGAACCATAAGCTCACCTTGCACCAATCGGCTTCTTCGGTGTGCGGGCTTGGCGGGTCAAATTCAAGCATGAAATCCGCAAAACACTTGAAATGATTCTTGAAAGTGAAACAACCTCCTTTGCTGCATTGCTTGTTTCTTTTGCGAATGACAGGTGGACAGCAAAAGGGACATACTGTATGTGCTTGCTCAACTACGAGAACTCAAAAGCTGGAAAATGGGGATGCCCCTAGGCAAAGAATCGTCATCATGGAAAACAAGGCTACTTGAAGCATTTGCGCACGGAACAAGTCCTCCGTGACACCAATGTTGGATTTGCTTGTCGATGCCGCCAGGCCTACTTCACCGAATGGGATTCCGTAGTACTGGTCGCAGCAACTTGGCCTAACCCCAATTTTGTTTTACCACAATCGTGATGGTAACTGTTTCCTGACATGAGTGAGTTGCACCGCAGGTAGGCTCCCTTGAGATCTATGCAGCAGGAGGTCTCGCATTTTGAGACAAACCCATCGTTACTAGTTGCCAACAATCTCGAGTGAAGGATCGCCTATAGAGCATCATGAGACCCACAACAATGGTGGGAACCAGGATATAAATGTAGAATATAGAATCAACAGCACCATCAGTTCAACATGCAAGGGGTATGCAAATGTCCATGTCTTAACCCAGTGTTGCCATTGCCAAGCATCCGGAAATATATGGTTAATCCATGAGTTCCCCAGTGACCATGAGCTCCCCGTCGTGGCAACACGATGCCATTCAATCCAGTGCATGGCAAAGGCTGTGTTGTGCAACGACTTCACCTTTGCGGAGGGAACCTCGACACCCTCCTTCTCATCTCCTCCCCAAAAGGACGCTAGAATTATTACATGTGCCATAGTCAAACTCCCTATGGGGTCATGGTATTAGTCCCGCTTGTCAGGATTCTCATTTTCGGCAGACCTCACTGAGGGGTCCGTCACTATCCTTAGCAACCCCAAGCCCTAAGTGAAAGGGTGCCTGGACCGTGGCCAGATATTTCCTGCGGCTTGGTCTCTGCTCCCTAGCTGCCCAGACACTTCAGCGAGGCCCAAATCCGAAAGCTACTTGCGCCTGTGCCTATACGGGCCGAATGACTAGGACCTGGACCCACAGAAAGAAATAAGAATGGGCTTTCGAGGCAAAACGCGGTAGAGGTATTTCGACCAAGTGGACTTGTTCAACAAATAAATTGGACCCGCGGAGGAAATGTTGCAGCAGGGTTGTGGAGTATTTGAAAACCAAATTAATCCTGGATCAACATGGGCCATAATTTTGCTTATATAACACGGTTTCCCCTTCGCCCATCCCGAGTCAAAGTTGAGTGGCCTGCAGATCCGTAGACGCTGATCAGCCTGAGCTCATTTCAGGGGATATCTAGCCCCAATCTGTAATCCGTAGTCCGCAATTGGGCAGGGACGGCACTACAATAGGGGAGACCCCTACCATCTGCATCAGGAATCATTATTGACTTTGCACAAGCCAGTTTACCAAAGCTTTAAGATCAACAAACAATAATTTTAAACTTTGCCGACAGCAGGTAGGATACTTACTCCTGGTGGTGCAAGGTTGGGATGATGCCAGTGCGGATGTACCAGATATACATGCCCATATTCATACATGCATATAAACACATACCTGCGCGTGTAATTATATATGATTAAACATATATATATATATATATATATTCATGTGGTTAGCTTTCAGAGAATCCCACCGCATTGAGCCTTGAGGGCTAGTACAATTCATTGGACTTGTTAGGTCCTTCGCGGTGTGACAATGCTTTGAGCATTGGACGCACAGGCTAGGCAACAGTCCTGACAGCGTCAAAGCCAGGTTTTGCCATGGGCACAGTCACCTTATGCGGCTTCTACAGCGAGGCCTCATAATTGTAGTCTTTGCCAACCCCAACCTGGCCATAGGGAAAAAGAGTGAAATTCGGACCGAACCTGTATAAGCAGAAGCGCAGCATAATGTCACACCATAAAATTATCTATGAGGGCAGGCGAAAACAACATATCGGTGCTAAGCACTCATGCAAACAAACCCTGCCACTGACACTGAGCAACTGGGTCTCCGACACCTCCTTCAGCTCAACATGTCTGTTCTGAGCGCATCTACTGAAACGTCGATGGGGGGGCCAAAAGCTCACAAGCCGCTTGCCAATGTCATCTCACGGGTTCATCCTAGGCGTATCCTAGTCTCATCCACCATCCTCCTTTGCATAGATCACTCCAAGGGCCCATCTCGGCATCACGGGATTGGGCCCAGCACCTGTTCCAACAATATGCTCAAACCACTATTCTTGAAACCATGCTATCATGTTTCCCAACGGGTCCTGGATCTTCAAACCAACTTTGCAACCAGGGTGGAAGACCCGTCAGGCAACAAGTAGAACGCGCCCAGTTCCTCACTAACTCATTTCGCCCAGCCCATGTCTCATCAAGCGTTTCCGGGTAGTATAGACTTGTGCAGAAATGAGGGACATGTTGTGCGACTTTGTCAAACATGAGGGCTCCATAAGTGTATGCATAGGACACGTGTCTGAATGATTTGGCCTAGCAAAGTCCAACAAGACAGTTTTGATGCCACTCAAATGGTATTCCCAAAACGAAGTCCCAACACGTGGAGAGACAGTATGCATTTCTACGTGAAAGCACTCTGGAACGCGCTGCCTGGCTATCTGTTATTTCGAGTTGACTAAGAGGATCACTCTCATTGGCTATGACGTGTGCCTTTTTGAAGCGAAAGGTACTCTTTTCAGCTTGGTTTAAAGGGAAACCATGCCTGTAAACCAAGGTGGAAAGGGGCACCCTTGGCGTCAGAAAAATATCCAAATCAGCATTTCTTTCTTGGGCTCCCCCCCTTGGACACATGAGTGACATACGCATGTGAAAGACCCCCTACTTCTCGGGAGTTGAAGGGAGCGCTATTCTGGCTGCGGACTTTGGCACCCCTCAAAAACGGTCAGAATACTGAGACTACGCAGGCCCCCGGCCCGTTGAAACTTCCGAGGTCCGGCTTCACGGTTTGCGCCGCCATGCGCCTGACCGGTCTCCGACCGCTCGGCCAAACTTAGATTCCCTGCTAAAAACGTATTTAACTGTTTGCTTTTCCACATTTTGATGGTGTGTAACATGGCTTTCTAGGTCAAACCATGAATGGGGGGACAAAGATGAGGGCAACGGTGCCCAAGCGCAGATCGCGCATAAGCCATGGCTACTCCTTCAACTTGTGGAACGTCGTGTCTCAACTTGGGCGGTCTTAACGTCTTCATGCGCCAATTGTTAATCGGAAGAAGCCAGTCCTCTTTTGGGAGAAGCTTGGCATACCTCGCGAAGCAATCCTACTCGGTATGTCTGTCCAATGATCCGTATGAAAAGGACAGCCCCGGCCCGAACAAGTAAAACCTTAGGGGTCCTCATACATGTACGTATATTGCAATGAAATTAATAGGAACCACCTCAAAGGTCGTTGGCGCACATGAATCCCCGCCCGAATTCTCATGTCCAACGTCGGAGCCCTTCACCATCGCTAGCCTGAAAAGCTCGGAAGCCTGTTCCCACAAACCCGGAGACACCTGACGCGCGAAGCGAAGCGAGCGAGTGCGAGGGGGGGAGGCTGGTCGGATTAATCAGGTCATACATCCAAGCAGCTTTACGGGTTGAAGATAGGGGGCCGGGAAAAAACAAGCAACTCTAAATCCCCCTGCCAACACCATCCAACACCCCAACACCCCAACGACGGTTGTTTCCCATGTCCGAGACCCCAAGTGCTGTTCCAAAGGCAGTTGTTGGAGAGTGCGTGGTTGTGGCTTTCATTCGGGATCTTCGTCAGCGGTGAGCGATGGGGCCCAGCCATGTCCTTTTAATCCTGGTCCGTGATCCCTTGTGGGACATGACCGCAACAAGGGAAATTGCTGGGTCCTTCAAAACGAGGGGGTTCTCAAAATAGGACTCGGTTTCAATGAATGGCAAGGGTTTTGTGTTGGTTACATACAGTACCAACCAAACAGGGCATCCGAACACCATTTTGAGAAACAGTCATGATTGAAAACAAGGGCCCTGGGGTTGCTATGGGTTCTCCAAAACGCCCCTCAGGGTTCAAGCCAAAAACACGTGTCAAGGGGGTCCCGCGAAAAAGTTGGCCTGCTTTTATGTTTCCGATAGACCAACTAAAAAGAGTACCCTCACAAAAAAAAAACACACACACACAGAAAATCCCGGGATGACTGAAAGTGTTGCACGTTCATTTTGGCCGAGCAATCATTACACACTCCCAACTCCAGGACTCCAAGTTTAAACAGGACAAGTCAGTTCGGGGATACACGAAATACAGCAAATTAACGGTTGCCGGTGACATTTTTCTATGATGGATTGATTGATTTTGTTGATGCATTGATCCATTGATTCCTCGCTTGATGGGTTGGTTGATTGATTGATCGATCGAGTGTCTGATTTATTTGTTGATTGATTCATTGACTTCTTGATTGATGGATTGATTGATTGATTGATTGATTGATTGATTGATTGATTGATTGATTGTTTGTTTGATTGTTCGTTTGTTTGCTTGTTTGTTTGTTCGTTTGTTTGTGTGTTTCATTGGTTTGCTTATTGACTTGTTTACTTCTGATTCATGACGTTTTAAGATTGTAGTTGTTTGTTTGATATACACAATGACTGATTGGTGTATTCAGTTGTTGACTAATTGATTCATTCATTAATGGACTTGTGGAAACATTGATTGATTCATTGCTGGATGCATGGATTGGTCCATCCATTGAACCATTAATGCATTGACACTCATTGATGCATTGACTCCTTGCCGCGTTCATTCATTGAATCATTCATTCCGTCCTTCCTTCCTTGATTCATTCGTTCATTCGTTCATTCATTCATTCATTCATTCGTTCCTTCCTTTCTTCCTTCCTTCAATCATTCATTCATTAATGCATTCATTCACTCATTCATTTTTTCAATCATTAATTCATTAATTCATTCATTCATTCATTCATTCAATCATTCATTCAATCATTCATGCATTCGTTCATTCAATCAATCAATCAATCAATCAAGCAACCACGCAATCAAGCAATCGATCGATCGATCAATCGATCAATCAACCAACCAACCAACCAAGCAAGCAAGCAAGCAAGCAAGCAAGCAAGCAAGCAATCAATCAATCAATCAATCAATCAGTTCAATGGATTCTCATTCATCCGTTCTTTCAGTCATTCCTTCATGCATGCATTCGTTCATACATTCACTCCATTCCACTCCATTCCATTGCATTCCATTGCATTCCATTCCATTCGACTCCATTCCATTTCAATTCATTCTATTCCAAATATTTCATCCACCAACTCCTGCCTTCCTTCATTAATTTGGTTCCATTCCATTGCATTCTATTCCAGTCTATTCCATTCCACTTCATGCCTTCATTCATTCATGCAAGGTGCTACTGACACAAGCAGATCAAGAGAGATAAGGCTTTCCCAAAGCGAGGAACCTTCATCACGGGTGATGTCACAAACCGCGTCAGGTTGGTGAGGTCGCCATTCATTTTTGTCCATGTACACTTGCTGAGTGGTTGGCCAAAACTAGCGTAAACTGTTTGGTTTGCCACTCAAGTAGTCTTCCACAAAAGTACAAAATCCAGACACCTTGGAAAGTGAGCGCCTCAACCTCCCGTTTGGATTGGAACCCGGGGCACCTTTCCGCCAGGCCCGAACGCGCACCTCAGTAGCGAGAGCACGGATGGCCGCGTTGTAGCCTGGCGGATGGCGACAAAAGGTGCAAATAAAGGCCTGCCCGGCCACTCTCCTTTCACACTGGGTTTGAAAGTGGGGGTTTGGATGGTTGAATGGGCTTGCTATCCCGTAGTTTCGAAGCATAGTCAGCCTTTTAAAAACATGACTGGACACAGACCTCCATTTGCTTTTCGTTGGCGCCTTTACCAGGTGGTTCCTATCTCAGCGAACAAACACGTATATTTTAGGAGGGTTATTCTGACAAGTATGATCCAACAAAAAAACAATCAATGAAGGGTTCAGGTGGGACCGAGACCCCAGTACAAGCATTGGAAGCTGGGCAAATACGGTCGACTCACGTGGGGTCCTCACGTGGAAGCCGGTCAAACACGGTTGACTCGCGCAGGGTCCTTGGCAAACTGGCCACAGGCACATGTATGTTCACACTAGTAATGCATGTGCGTGGCACGCAACCCACCAGTCTCTTTCGGCCGCGCTGTCGACATCCATTGGCTGATTCAAAACTCCAGATCGGTGTGCATCGGCGCATACAAACATCTCCTTCTCTACGTCACGACGTCACCCTGATTAGATCTCAAATCTCAGGATACTTTCATCCACCTTGTGCACTTCCTGGCTGTTCCAAGCTTTCTTGATTTGGCTCAACTGGATCCGAATGGTAGTTGTCCTTTTGGTTTCCCTTTAAACCAACCCAAAAAGGGTACCCTTCAAAAGGTACAATCCCAAAGTGAAGCATATGATCAAACCTCATCCTCCGAATCCCAGATGTGGTCTTGTCCGAAAAGCCAGGAAATGACAATGGCAAACCCATTGAAACCGGGATTGAAAGCAGACCAAAGCTAGAAAACCAAAAGGTCTGTCATGTCCGCCTCTGAATGGTTTAGGTGGGCGTACATCTCAAAGGAGTGCTCCTCAAACAAATCATTCGTCTACTGAAAGAGGTTGGACACCCTAAGGGTTCCAACAAAAAACAATTAACTTGCTGTGCTACCAAAGTGGGCCATCCCGTAACAACTTTCTTCAGCGCCATCCCTAACTCGAAATCGCATAAATAAGAGGTTCCCCAGAATAGATGTGGACCCCCCTCCCATCATACTTTAATTTGGCCAGGGGTCAGGGGGATATAATTTTGCTCTAATTCGTCATTTCTATCGGGTATCACAACAATGGCGATCCAAGACGTAACTTTCCACAGCCATGCCTTTGCGTGTTTTTTGGCCGACGCCAAATCGCGGAAATAGAAGTTGAGACATCTTGGGCCCGTTCTTCCAATGCCGGCCCACGATTTCCACAGACAGTCTAGGTAACAGTACACCATGATGAAAGTAGACGGCACAACTCCCTTTATGTGAGCAAGGAGATGACTACACCAAAAGGGGGCATTGTGCCGTCTACGCTTACCCAACCAAGGTGCTTTAAAGCTCCAGGCTTGATCCTTCCCGGAACACGGCCAGCAAGCACTTGGTAAAGCTTCCTAATTCAAGGGCTTAACTCATCACGTGATTCTATCATGAACATGACTCAAGTCAATACGGCTTCAAAGTACTCCCCCCCCCCAACAATGCATTCTAACTATCTGCAAAACTTAAAACTCAAGAGCGTAAAAAAGGGATCCTCAAGTAAAGGTGAGCTGGCCTAACATACAAATATGCAGACATATTTAGGCCGTCTAGGTACCCTGGAGTCGCCGCGGGCCACAAGATGCCTGCCAAGCCCACAAGGTTCTCCGCCTGCGACAAAGCCTGCAAACAGGAGGAAAACTGCATCTGAATCCCGGTAAAAGCTACTTGGGAAGTTCAGTGGCCCAAACATGTGGTTCCCACAATGGGCATGCGGAAACTGAGGTTCAGAGAGGGCTAAGACTGAAACTTGGCTCACAAGTGTTCAATGGCAGCTTTGTGCCCGGCTGCAACCGCCTTAGAAAAACCATACATCTGCAGCGCTCGCACACACCATTTGTCCCTCTACTTTGCTCTGTCTCGAGTCTCGATGCATCAAATTGAAGATCAACTCGGAGCCACCCCGCCGGAAAGTCTCATGAAGATGCACCAGCATGCTCCCAACAGTCCGCGTTCTTAGAACTTGGCCCAAGCAATGCGGCGACGCAGCCGGCAAGTCTTTGGCTCTGGATCAGTAGAATCTTGAACAAGGTCAATTTGAGGATTATTTTCGAGGATTATTCTCTCGTAGAGGCGGCCCATGACCTACGAGCCAAATTGGGGAGGATGCTTCTCTATCGCCTCTTAAACCCAAACAAAAACAGCCCTTAGTGTCTGATCCTCTGGACGACTCACAAAACACTCCCACCAACTCACCCCCTAGGGAACACTCAACTAGACCCCGACTGAAGTGTTTCTATACGTGGGCATCGAGGGGATCCCTGGACAGTGTCAAGGGGGTTGGATGCAGACTCCATGTGTGGATCCACCTTTCGATGCTGAACATCTAAACACAGCACCAGGGCGAACTTCGGAAGCCACACAAGCAAAACATTAAATGAGAATGAAGCCTGCGGGCTTAAGGAATTGACATGCAGAACAACCTTCGTTCCAAACAAAACAAACATGAGACAAGCCTGAGGGGGTCCAACTACCCCCAAACGTGATACGGTTCCGCTCCAACATCCTGAAAATACACCGGATCCCTCCGAAAGGGGTTGCAGCCCACCTTGGCAAGGAACCCAACACAATGAAAACAAACTTGTTCACCAGCAGAATCACAGTTGTCTGAGCTGGCACACGCCATAATTTTAGCTACAAAAGGTCATTCAAGATATCCCATCGAAGACACAGCTCCTGCGTTTTGCCCAGAAAGGGAACGTCCATGGATACCGCCACTTCTAAAGATAAGGCTGTCCGAAAGGTTGAAACTGGCGTTGACGACTGAGCGCGGTATTGCGAATGCTTGACATCCACTGAAGTTACTAGTCTGAAAAGTCAGAACAAAATCCACTAGGTCTGCTCGCTTTGTGGGACCGGCGCCGCAAGTCCCCCCCAAAAACAAAATCAACAAGCAGGTTCCTCAGCATCCTCAACCTGATGCTTCCCAATAACCGATTGCTTGCTTTTCTGCACGGCTCTCTCTAGTCTTCATTTCCATGGCTTTCTCCTTCTCAGTAGTTAAAAGACATGCTCGGCCTCATTGCTTCATCATTTGATTTCCTTTTTAATAGCTGAAGAGTATGGTCCGTCCTCATGTCCGCCTAGGTTTAGTCCAACAAGTTTGGCTCTTGGTCCGCGTCTCAGGGTTAGACTCAACCTGTGAATGAACAAAGGGGCTTGGGAATGAACCAATGGATCCCAACGGAAACCACCAGTAGGATGGTTCGGTTCGGGGTCATTCCATTTCTCATTCCTATCGAACCAGTAAATAGGATACGGACCTAACTGGGCTTCCAGCCAAAAAGGGAAACAACCTTGCAGTAATACGGGTGTACCCTTTTTTGGATTATGTGGGGAACTTAAAAGGCAACAACCCTATTTCGGGGGTCCCCTATTTTGAGACACACCCATATGCTTCGGCTTTCCGTTAAGCTTTCAGACAACCAATGGAAACGCGGTACCGAACGCTTAAGCCGCTGTTGTTGAATTAAACCACCTCTTTGGGATTCCTTTTAAGGGCGCCAGGGAATGGCAGTTTAAATTTCAGACCAACTTCCTGTTACCCGGACTCAAACGAAAGGACATACCCAAAAACGGCTAAATGTTGCCTCGCCCTTGTGATGCTTGCATGGCAACTAAGCAAACATTGTTTTCCCTGTGGGTAGTGGAAAAGAGCACCAACATGGTGGTGTTCGTGGTGGTTTCCCTTTAAACCACTGCCAAAAGAGGCAACAACACGCGCACACACACACAGCCATACCCATATTAGGCGGTCTTTGGATGGTCATCTTTGGTAATCTTTGGTTCACAATCTCATTTCGCCTGCAGCAACAAATCCTCGACCCCTGACCGAGTCCCAAGACATCCAAGCTGAAAGCAGGTTGATGGACTTTGAAAGGGGAATTTCTGCAACGGGGCCCCTGGCGCGCCCTCTTTGGCATACATCCGCACTTTTTGCAACCTCCCACTCTTTCGGGTTAGGTACGCGTCGGGGCTGCCTGGACGGCCTTCTCTGGTTGATCCGCTTTGGCGAAGGCCGAGATCATGGTGTGGTGGCTCACCTCGCGTGACCCGACTCACTCGAAGCTTGGCTCACATCAAATCTGGGGTACACATAAAATCATATAAGTAGAATCTATCCTAGATATGGAGGAGACATGGGGAGACCCCAGTAGCAGTGACCAGAACTTGGAAGACCGCTGTAGTAGTGGATGATCTAAATGTTCATCCACTGTTCGTGGGCGCCAATCAAAATCTGCCAGTGCACCACTTTTGGAAATGGGTGCCACACAGAAGCCAACAACTTCCTGGTCGTCTCCTATTTGGAGGCAAACCCATATAGGTCGCATACTTGAAGGGCCAGGGTAGTTATGTCAGGTACATGGTGAGAAACCCCACTTACAACCCACTCAACGGGGACGTACAACTGCGGAAGGTGGTTGAACTTCAGGCCAGCCAAGTGCCCTGGCCCTGAAAGTGAACACCCAGCACGACACCAGTTTGCGAGCCCGGAAACCTCAGAATTTGTGCAACCCCCAAAGCGACTTCAAGGGCCCTTAGGCATTTAGGAGCCAACAGGGGCCCTTTTGGGACAAAGACCACGTCTCGAGACAGGATGGGGACTCCGACAAAGGTGTCATGGAGGTTCAAGGCACAGCACTCATGAGAGCAAAGTGGTCATGTAAGAACGTCAAGTTTGCATAAATCCAAAAGACACGGTTGTAAACCCTTTAAGTGAGTTATAGCCAGGGTGGTTGACCACATACTAAGTACCCTGCCCCCTCAAGTAAGGACTTCGAGCAGGATTGTGTCTTAAGCTTCGCATTCAGCCCCGAAAAAGTGAGTCCCGGGCCTGATCTAGGCCCACCTCCTCCTTCATCACCTCCAGCAAGGCCTCGCAAACTTTTGCTTTGCCGTCAGGGTCTGAGTATAGATTGGGTTGTAATCCGGTAAATCTATTCATGAGGTTTATAACCCCATTCATAAGCTGGGCCAAGCAAGGGCCAAAAAAGCACCCGCCAAAATCGGTGGGATACCTCGCATGCAAACAGCGTTCCTTTCCAAATGAACTAAAGCAACCCCACAAAGAGATTCGCAAGGAGATTCCCTCACAACATGTTTTTTTGGGGTGCGTGTCAATGTGCAAAGGAGTGATAATTAAACGGAAAACATATTGTGAGCCAATTCAAAAGAGGATCTTGCAGAATCTGAGTTCCTCTCCGGCCTTGGACTCCTAGACAGTTCCAGGCTTCGACCCAGGTCAGTAGGAGAAGCGAGTGTGCACACAAAAGTCGGGGAAATGTCAGGTAGGCAGGTACCCGCCTCATTGCGACAGAAAACGTCGATGCGCCTGATTTCACATGCTCTTCTTTTTGGTGGTCCTTTCATGGAAGGTTTCGCCATTAAACCCGTGGACCATACCCATGCGCTCGATCCCAAATAAGGAGTAATCGAGGGGTGAAAGGATAAATGAAAGCTCACCAAATTCTACTAATTGAAGTGTTCAACTGCTTTGAGGTCTGGCCTGGGGACTGGGGGAACCACCCCACTGCCAAAGCATATTCGCTCCACAAAAGCCGCGAATCTATGCTGTTATGATGCGTCAATATCCACAACCTGGTATTACAGAATGAAAAGTGTGGCCGCACCTGCTCATCCGTTGGAACCCTTACTACCCTTACGTTTGTTACACTGCAAGCTGTCTCGGTGGTAGCAACAAACAACAGAAGCCCGCAAAGCTCTCCGCAAGCCTGCGCGCGAGTCCATACCTGAGCGGATTTTTGCGATTGGCTCGCGGAAATCCGAGGGGACCGATTGTTTCTGGACCGGACATGAAACCTACCAAAAGTACCACAGCTTTTGACCAACCCCAAATTTGGTGCTTGATCCTGGGCCGTTCAGTGAACCCAAAAAAATGCGAAACCATGCAAAAAGAGATTTCGGAAGATGGGTGATTCTAAAATCTCAAGGAAGATGAGGACCCTCATTTGAATTGAACCACGAAAAAGGCACAACTCCAGACAAAAAGCCAGGTTCATGGGCGTGACCGTTTTTGAGAGCACCCTTCTTGCGGGAGACAGGGACTGTTGGTTCCCTGACAAACCTGTCAAGGTAAATGCCATTAGCCCTCCGAGACCACAGGGAAACCTTGTGTTGGTTCATCCCTTTACATACAAACCCATAAGACCCGTCTGAGCTTTACTTGGCCCTTTGGTGTGCGTTCTTTGGGGATGTCCACCAACAATTCGAGAGAAGCCATATTAGCCCCTATAAACTTGGTATGACCAACCTGGACAATTCGGGAATCTCTACGGTTTGCGAACTCCAAAATTCGGGGGATATGTTTTCTTTTTGATATGTTCAGAGTACCTGTCCAAGGCTACACCCCGTGCAACTCGGATGAATTCTGCGAGACAGGGACACATAAGTTTTGGTGGGCACCATGGCCCCTGGCTCCTCTGTCCAAGTGGAAATTTTCTGAGGGTCACCCATTTCATTCCCTTTACAACAGATGATGCTGAGTGACCAGCATTGTGAGGCATACGATGCATAAGGAAGCCACCTTTCCACTTTTGTGATACCACTGAAAAATGATTCGCCTTCCTGATGACGAATTGTTCACAGAGACGTGGAAAAAACAACAAAAAAACGGTATGACAGAGCTGGGAGCCAACCAACAGTCCCACTTCCAATGGATCAATGTAAGGGCTGATTCCCTCATAATCTTCACCCATCGTTCTCATTGGACTCCACCCATTTAAGTTGCTAGGGGGTGGCCCATTTGTTGAAGACAAGGATCCCTGAGGACAAAGGTGAAGGTATAGCTAGAAGGGAACAAAAGGACGTGAACGTTGGGTTGTTTGGTACAAGCGCAACTCTTCCACCAATAATCTCATGGAGTCCCACGAAAAAAGAACTGATAGGGGATAAATCCCAATTGATGACGTTTTGGTGCACACCCAGGCCCAGGTTCTTGCATTTCTTGCTGGATGGTGATGCTGTTTCCACTCCTTAAACGTACAACACAGGGGTGCCACTAGGCATTGGCCTGATGTCCCACCAAACACATGGAACGTGTTCCACATACTGGAATCTGGTCAATTAACTTCTGCCAGGGTCAAACCCTTTTGGTCGCTTTGCTCTGTTTAAGGACTGCGACATGTACTCCGGGCTAAGAAGTGACCCCTTAATGGTTCTAAACTGTACACCCCACATATACCGGGTGTATAACCCGGCATGGTTGCCGTGCGGAAACAATTCAAGGGTACTCTCTGAGATGACATGACGTTTCCACGGAACCATTTGGCGCACTCCGCGCGCCGCAGCATCATGGTAAGGCTTTTTAGTCTCTCCTGATGCCTCATGTTGGATTGGTTGATCACCGCTCGTACATCGAGAGCAGGTTGCACGATAATTCGCACAACCGGACCACATTCCCCCTTAAAAAGAGGCAAGGGCGGTCCTTGTAGGAGTCTTCATGACCCTCAAGCAATAGGGCATTGCAGCCATAAGTTTGGGGTAATGACGCCCATGTTTGAGGTGTCATCGAGACTCCATCCAAAAGTCATGCAGGGAGTTCAAACACCTGCGAATAGGTGGCAATGGCATTCAACCCGCACAGGTTTGCAAGAGCGAAAACTTTACATCACTCGCGCACCGCAGACACCATGAAGTAGGCATAGTCCTGTGAGCACAAACATGCATGTTGAGCGCTGCTGCTCTTATAAACTCCTCCGTCACCCTTGGTTGTAGTTAATGAACATACATTGAACTGCCGTACAAGTCTGGGACAAAACCTCAAAGCAAAAAGACTCAGATTTAGCAAGCGGCAAACATCGTCGCCGCATTTGGTTGGACATAGGCCGCGTGAGGAAATGCCACACTTCAGTGTTAGCTTCACTTTTGGTCAACAATAAGGCAGCAAGTGCATCCTAGCTCTCTGCCCAACCCCGATCTCTCTCTCGCTCTCTCTTATAGTCCTTGGCGCTACATACTTCCCAACCAAAATATGCTAACCTGGCGCAAAGCCCTGTAGCAGCCAAGTAAAACTAGGCAAAACAAAAAACACGGCATGCGCAATCGACAATACTTGTGCCTGGAAACTTACTTTACCGCAACCAAGATCGACAAGCAAATATTGCTCCTACTATCTGGCGGCTGGGAATCTCTAGATCGCGACTGTCCTAACATTTATTTACCCACCTCTCACTTCCTGAGTGGATTGGTCAGAACAAGTCCGTACTTGTTGCTTACCATCATAACTATCTTCCCCAACGAAAAGTCCAGTCACGGGCGAACTAATAATAAGTCCGTCTTGGAACCGTTGCAGAAATGACTCACAATGAGATTTGGTACGAAGGGGGTCTACCCAAGCATGTGCGCCATGGTGAAAAAGTCCCTTCTGTGGGCCGTGATCACAGTCCCCATACAAGCAACATTTACAATGCCTGTCGGCACTCCCTCCCAAGCATTGATGGCTTAAAGCGCAAGCAAAACGAATGCTGCTGGTAGCTCCTCGGGCATATGCTGATTTCTTCTGTACCTCGGCCGGAACTTGTCGCCCCGATTGATCCCATGTGAATGCTCGACGCTGTTAGGGGGATATATGCATTCAAGGAGGAATCGTATAATTTTATAGGGTCCAAACAAAGGTCCAAGGTCTCAAATGGAGTATACAAGGAATCACCAGAAGATGCCTTCTGCGCAACGGGGATAATCAGAAACCAATGCCCCGGTAATGCTGTCCGCTGCTCAGGTAAAAGCCAGGACACTCCCAACGCGCTCGTTCCAAGAAATAGGACAATCACTGGACATGGGAATTAACAAATACCAACTAGTAGCGGACACTTATTGCAGGAAATGGTTGCTGGGATTTGCCCACCCCAAATAGTTGCGACGCAATATCCAAGGCATGACATCCTCTGAATCCGCCGACCCCCTGCCTGCCCAGAATGGACCATGCTTTTGGCATGGGGGCGGTGTGTTCTGTGTTGCTTTTGTTTTCTATAGGTAAAATGTGAATATAATTCTGTGTGTTTATATTTATATTTATGTTCCTTGGGGAGGAAAATGCATTGGCTGGATTTCTGGATCTCTGGGTCTCTGGATCTCCGGCTGTCTGGATTTCTGGATCTCTGGATGTCTGGATCTCTGGCTTTCTGACCCCCTCTCCTTGCAGGGGGGGGGCGAGGGTCTTTGCGGACACGAAGACAGACGCAGATACGTAGACAAACACAGACAAACACAAAGAGACACAGACAAACACAGAGGAGCGACAGGGTCTTCGCGGACACGAAAACAGACACACACGCGGGGGGGGGGGGGGGTGAGGCCCACTGCCGGGGTGCCTATCCCAGAAGGGAACTGGCACCCTGTGGTAGTAGAGGTCGTTGATTTGGTCCCTGGATCTATTCCGGAGAGAGTCCAGTATGCCAATATGGACAATTGGAGGATGGATTGTCCCTGGTGGCTTGTGTTGACTGTGAATCCTGTGAAGCGGTCTGCAAGCCTTTCTATCACTGTACCATGTGTCGAATGACTGTACAAATGACGTGATGGGCCTTCAGCCAAAATACAAACGGAGTGGGTGCAAAGGTCAATAGGTGTAACCAAAAGCAACACAAAACAGACACAAATTTCTTTTGACCTTTCACACCGAAAGTGTATGATTGGCTTCTTGGCCTTATGTGCCGTAGCCATACTTGAAAGTGTCGGCCGTAGCCATATATTGTTACAATGATTCATCCAATTTTGGCGCGGATGATTTGTCATGTGAGCAAAATGGAAAACAGTCTGTGCTGATTCTGTGAGATACCTAGATGTATCGAAAGGTGATGCACAACGCTATGTACATGCGGGACGAATGTGAAACTATTGATCTCTCACTGAATAGTCTTGTTGGCGGTGAGGATCAATCTGATTGTAGTTCATAGTGCTGATCGTGTGAGTCTTCTCGGTCGGTCGAATGAGTGCCAAAGGTGGCTGCTTCATCAAGTGATCAGCGGTACCACCGACGGCTGCTGTCGGATTGACTGCCATAGTCTCCATAATCATTCCAGGTCGAATCGCTATAGTCCTTCCATTGCTTTGGATTGCCCCAGTACTGCTTGTTGTAGTGGTTACGTGGCGGCTGTCAAACTCGAGGAGTGATTTGTTGGATGATTTTGGGAGCATACCACGATACTCATCACTCTGCTTGATGTGGAGAACAACAATCTCTTTGTTACGTCCGTGTCCTTGGACAGTAGTGCGTGTTGGCAATCTCGGTCCGATGTACTTCTTGGATTCAGTAAACATGGATGGTCCCGTAGTTGCCAAAAAGTCCGAGGTCGGAATGTCGTATTCAGGATCAGCGCAGTTTTCCTCGGTTCCGAAGAAACATCTGAACATCCCGAATGTGGTTCCCCAATTCTGACTCTTTGTGGAAATGTGTCTTGCCAATAGTTCCACTCTTGCGGAAGGTCCACCGCGGACAAAGCATGCAAATGGTCTGGATGACCATTGCTTGATAATGATGCCCTTGTACCCGAATCGGATGACGTCTTGATGAGTTCTCTGGATTTATCATCTTGAGGACTGAGGAATGCGTCTGCTTCATTGAGGCATAAGATGTGTGCGCTGTTCTGCATCATCATCTTCACGATTGGTCGGTCCTTCATCGCCATGTTCTTTGGATTCCTCGTGAGGTTTCCATGGTTCATAGTAAGCATGTTGATCGTCAGGGATGAGGTGAACTCATGCGTCTTGAGATGGTCCACAGGGGGACGGT